CTCCGCCGTTATATTCGCCGGAATCCTCCTCTCCGCCGCCGCTGAAATCAAGGAAACCCGATGGTTCTGGCGCCGTTCCAAAACCCCATTCCAATGGCTCCTCTGTTTTCCTCTCGGAACCCGTCCCTCTGGGCGTGTCTTCTTCTGGTCCTACATCTTTTACCTCTCTCGTTTCCTCCACATGTTCCGGACGATCTTCATAATCTTCCGAACCCGAAAATTAACCTTTTTCTACCTCTTCAACAACTCCATATTGACGATCATGTCGTTCCTATGGCTAGAGTTTTCACAGTCGTTTCAGGTTTTGGCGATCCTGTTCACGACCCTGGTTTACGCAGCGGTTTATGGCTATAGATTCTGGACGGGAATAGGGTTACCAAGCGCTTGCTTTCCATTCGTTTTGAATTGCCAAATCCTGTTGTTAGGCTGCAACCTGGTCTGCCACGTCGGGGTCTTGACCTTGCATTTCATGAAAGGTGGGTGCAATGGAATTGGAGCCTGGGTTTTGAACTCGGTTCTGAATGGGGTTATTTTGTTACTGTTTTTGAAGTTTTATGTTCAGAGCAGAAGAAAAGATGGGAAACAAGCTAAGCTGAGGGAAACTGTCAAGGACAAAGATTTGTGAGTGGTGTAGGTTTTTTGGGGTTTTTTTTTTTTTCTTCGTCTTCAAAAAGATTGAACAACTTGTGTAATTAAATTTCTTTTTTTAATTTGAAACAAAAAAGAAAATAAGAAAATAAGGCCTATAAAGATATTATTATTATGTTAGTTGGTGCTTACAGAAAATCTATTTCGTTACACTAATTAGATGATTATTCTTCTCCTTCTCTCTTTTCTTTTGTCAATTGCTTTTTGCTTAGATTCCAACACTTGAATAATTAGAATTGTGATGCATTGATGCTATAAGTCTATTATACCCTAAGAAAGAACATCAAATTTAATTTCATATAACGGATGGATTGTTTTTAATTGAATACTGTCTTTAATTCCCAAGAAAACGATTACTATATAGGTAAAGTATTTCATTGACTGTGTGTTGCTCTCATGATTCTTTTCCCAAGCGGAACAATTAAGGAATATCCTTTGCTGGCTGCTGCACTAAGGCTGATGCTGCTAAAAATTGATTGTTTTGGCATCCAAAAATGGGAATCCTTCAGGGTTTCACCTTGATGATATAAAGGGTCAGTAACCAGCATGTCGAGGGGAGGGACCTCTCTTTTAAGTGTAGCAGACTCACCACTGATTCTTTGTGCAGTTTTCAGACTTGAGATGAAAGATCTTGGTAATTGAAATGCTGCCATAACAAGTTCCAATTTGCAGCGTGGAAGGCAAGGATTTTTTTGAAAGATCAAAGGGGTGAAATTGGACTTTCCTAAAATCCTTAAGTCAAGTTTGAGCAGTTCAAGAAACTATGGTACTCGACCCTATTTTGTATTCATTCGAACAATTTGGTATACATATTTGTGTTTTAAAAGAAAAGGGTCACTTTTCAGGCTGAAACTTCTAGCCAAGAGAGGATACCAAAAACAAAAGAGAAAGACAAAACGATCTTCATTGTAATTTTATTGGTAAATTATGAGATAAGGAAGCATTGAAATTCGTTTATCTCTATAAGCAGGAAAATGACAGTTGACAAAAATTCTTCAATCTCATCACTGCTTGACGAAAAGCCAGGCTCTGTGTTGTTTCAATCAAGGAGTTTAGGCCTCAACCCTCAAGCCGATACAGTATTGAATTCTATCTACCATGAATGGTCTCGGGTAAAGATAAAGGCTTTTTTTCTTTCTGGGAAAATAGTTGGGGAACAAGGAGAAGGGATTCCTGCTTGAGATCTTCAGGTTGGATGTGAAGTTGGAGCACCATTTAAAAAAGGATTGTCACACCTTAGATTGTTACAAGAACAAAGCAAAAAGCATGTTTCAATTTCATAGTAATACTAACAGTTAAATGATGGTATGAAAAGATTGCCATTCAAATTCTGTTCAAGCAATTCAATGAGCAAATTACAAACAAAAAATTATTTATATTTTGCCCCCAAGGAGCAACCAGATTTAGAAAACTTTGGGCAAAACCTGGTGAGTTAAAACCCAAACAAAAATCCTGACAGCATCACAAGGCTCTGGTCTGGATCAATCACAATTCAAGTGGGCTGGACTGTTAGAGTACAATTCTGAATCTATCCTTCTTTTCCCACTCTCTTTCAAGATGCTAGAACCAAAAAAGATGGATTGGCTCAGCCCTTAGCTGCTCCTCAACTAGACAATGAAATAAAATCTTCTTTCTTCCCCTAAATGCTCTCATCCTTTGCTAAAACCATAACTTAATCCTAAGTCCTTACATTATCAGGACAGAAAAAGAAAACAAAGATAGGTCAGCTATATGACATTTGATATGTTCCTCACTTACAAATTCACTACAGCTATAGGACTTCAATCATTGAGAAAGAAAGAAGGCTAATTGTTATATGTTACGCAATACTATAATTCTTTGAAAATTATAAGAGTACAGCCCAAGGTCTTTTTCGGCCCATAGTTCATATAACAAAGAAGAAGGAGGCCCAAATGAGCCGGGAAAGATAACAGAGAAGTGCCAATGCATCATACATACATTTAGGGAAAATAGATTAAAGGGGGAATTAAAAGATAAGAACCACTCACATAAAGGAAAAAAGAAAAAAAAAAAACAGAAAAGGTGAAATTGATGTTTGAACTTATAAGAATTTAACTAATTCAAGGAACCCATTTTCCTTTTTTTTTTTTTGCTATAATGAACCAATTTACAGCATATTAAGTCATCTAACATACACACATATTAAGAAAAATCCATGACAAAAAATATTCATTATTTAAGCCGAGGACAATGATTTTTCACCTCATAAAAATAATTTATAAAGTGCAATTTCATATTTGTGATGTTGTAACATGTTAAAGATATTTTAATTTGACAATTAATTTTGTAAAAATTTAAGTTAAGAATCCTAACATTGTGATAGCATAATATACAAAATTGATACAATAAACATCTACATAATAAATAGTTTACTTTGTTAAGAAAAATATTTATAAAAACTAGACTAAAATTGAACTCCAGTGAATATTGAAGCGAGATTGGAATCACTAGATTGATTAAAAATATTCTAGATAGTTTTTTATTTTACAATTGAAATTGTTGTTTTCCGAAATCATATATGTTAATTTCGCATCTCGTTGAGTCAAAAATGAAAAATAAAAAATTATAGGGGCCAAATTTGACTTGCATTTAACTTTTTAAGGGGCCAAATTATAATTTTTAATTTTCGCAAAAGCAAAATTACGTATCTTATAAAGGGTATATGAACAATTTTAGGAACTTTGGGGTTTGCGGCGCGACGGCCCAGCCCCGCCGCCTCGCCCTCCCCTAAGTACGTCCTGGCCGACATGAAAACAGCACTCGTGGAAAAAGCATGGGAAAAAGGGAAGCAACCATATGGAAAACACTATTAATGAAGTTGGGCCCGCCTTCCCTGCGAGATTAATCAGTGTCCAGAATCATCTGAATAAAAAATCTGCAGTCACCCCATCTCTAAAAGATTTGTTCTTTGGTTTACGTTGCTGATAGATTCTAAACGTCACTAGACGAATCTGGAAAATTCTTCCAAATTTAATGAAAAATACTCCAAATGAGAAGTCATTTAATCCGTACGAAAATTAACTTCACAATTGTTGTTGTTTTCCTTTTTGAAAAAGTAATTTTGATTTTTCACTCAAGTTCCCAGCCCTTGCGCCATGATCATCTCAAAGCTGAAGCAATGATTGGGTAAGGCCCCCATCGACCCTTTTTGTGGGACACGTTGCTTAAACAAGAATAATACAGGATTGAATTTTATATATGATGAGAGCCTACCTTAATCTAGTTTGAAAAACAATGCTATATGGTAATATTATATTGCTAATTGTTTGAACTCGTACAAAGGATAATGTTTTGAACAAGAGATCCACGTTCTTGCAACGTAGAACTCTATATATAGGATTGGTACTCCTTTCTGAGTGGATAGAAAATTTCAATGTATTTCTCGTATATTACATCACACATTTTTATTTATAATCTTGATGCTGATCCTGAGTCAAACCCTGATTGTTCCACGTTCTTTTGAAGGGTTGTCTGTCGAAATTAGAATGCAGTAGACAGGTCGGCAGATTTAGACAAGCTCAAGCTAAAACTTGTGGGGGCTGTAATTAATTGTTAAACGTTGGAAAATGTGGACGAGCAAGTTTCCTGGTCGGTAGCTTGTTACGAGGCTGAGGGATCATGGGAGCATCCAACTTGGACACTACATGTGTCATACGAATTTCAGGAGCAGGGCCCCGATGGCTAGACATGACAGGAACAAAAAGATTGGGCCTGTCCGAGAAAACCTTCCCCAGTTCTGCACGAACAAGTAACAGGGCACGAGCCTGGAAATCTTTATCAGATGGGTATTTTGTAACTTTTTGGACAAGTTAGGTTTCTATCACGTGGCAATGCTATTGCCCAGGAGTATGGAGTAGATTGATATGGGAGGAAGACTTAATGGACAGTGACACGGTTTTTAAGGAAAAAGAATTTGGTTGACCTAACCGGTTTGCCAGGAATAAAATGACAGAAATGGACAACCTGCTGTTCTGTCCTTGCTGGCTGGAAGACAGTGGCGGGGCTCACTCATTCAGACAACTAAACTAACTGGGTTACAGCTAAGTTGATATCATGACTGGGTATGGCAATGCTTTAACGTTCACTCCCGTCTGTCTCTTTCATGCTTCTTGGAATTTGTCAGACAGTAGAAAGATTTTGAGCAATTAACATAGGATTATTCATTTGGCTAGAAGAAGAAAAGACTTCACCCGGCAGATTAGTTGTTAAAACGCATTCAAAGTGTCTCTGTCCAACGCAGTAATTATAATTCAAAGTTTTACACTGTAACCCGTTCAATTTTTAAGGTGCGAGTGGGGAATGGGAACTCCAAATTTGACTGGGTTTCACAATTACTTGAATTGAAAAGTTTGATTTTGGATTTAATTCTTGACTATGCTATACAGATTTTATATTTTCCTAAGCCTATGTTGGATAGACCATCACTCCTGAATACATATTAGCTCGAAATATTTTATATGTTTGGACAGTGGACCGAGGGAGAGGGAAGGGAGGGAGGGTAGGGGGTGCCAGGTTTGGGAGGATAACTCTTGACATGATTGGTACGGCAAGCCGCTCCTAATTCTAAAACAAAATTGTATTTATTTTTCTATTAATCTTTCTTGCTTTGGTATATTGTTTTTCTATCAATGATCTAAAGCACCAATCTGCATCTTTTCCGAATGATGATCAAATAAGGCCAAGGATGAGGTTTGTTCTGATGAAGAGTGTGGATGGAACATTCTCCCCAACTCGTTATACCTCTCAGTATCAAAATTGTGAGCCTTCATCAGCTGTTTTTGCTTTGTGCTGAACCTGCTCTGGTAGAAACCTTCGAAAGAAGGTTCTTTGGCTGTCCTGAGGAAGAATATATAGGCAGCCATGAAGTACACGGAAGTGACATAGAAACAAATGGGTTCCATGACATCCCACGAGAGTTCCCAAAACGTTAGCCTCATGAAACCGGCTGTTTGAACCACCAAGTATGCTAGGCCAAGCCACAGTTCTCGACGGACCAAGGAATCAGCTTTTTCATCAATCAAGGCTTTCTGCTTCTCCAACTCCACCAGTTCTTTTCTTCTTGGATCATTCGGATTGGGTCCCGGTAAAGGAATTAGACCTCCAATTGCTTTTGCTACCTGTAATCAGAAAACCAAAACGCTTTTGGGTAAAACATGGCTCAACCTGAACATACATTTCTTTTCTTCTCAATGTTGGGATCTTTTCAATGTCAAAATGAACCAAACCTTTAAAAGAAACGAAAAAATGACTCGAAAAAGGAAAGAAATTAAGGGTTTTTTTTTAAAAAAAATAAAACAAATTAAAGAGTTGTCTAACCAATAAATTACTGTAAAAACTTGACAGAATGATACAAGCAAGTAGTAATAAGAGATATAAAGGCCGAAAATGCTCATGTCAAGTTGAAGCCTATCCCTATCAAGACAATTCCAGGTCGACTTTCTGATATCATAAAAGTAAATGATAAATACGTGTATGTCAACAAGTTGGGATCGTCATCACAGGGACTGCCAAGAACCCTGTAAACTTTACGCCAAAGAAAGCCCCTATTCCCCCACCAATCTCCTTCCTCATTCGTCTAAAATTAAAAGTTGAATTCAACACCACCTCTCGGGCAGAATCATTCATATCCACCGTCTCAATAAGTTTGCAGATATTTTCAAATCTAAGCACTCCCAAACAAATACTAATTACTACCCAAACAGTTGGGCAATTAAAACACACCACTCAAGCTCCCCAACGTCGTCATTTCCCATCCCCCACAAACCAAAAAGTTAGGAAAAAGTAAAAATGAAAAAGCCATAGCCAACCAGCTATCCCTCTCCTCTCCTACACATTTTTTTTTCCAAAATTTTTGCTTAATGTTGAACTTTTCTCTAATTAAAAATTTACCCCTTCAAATTAATTAGTATCAAGTTTTGTACTTTTTTGAAATGGGTGGAGTAAAGGCCAATGGGTGAGAAAGATCCCACTCCCGTGGCCTTACTCCTGAAACCCCACCATAAAGAATTGTTGAAAACAGATGAAAAAAAATTGTGATCTTGTGCACAACTGTAGAAACAGCGAAGGGCTTTTTTTTTGGTCCTTCTCACAAACCATCTCAAACGTGGGAACCCTTTACACGTTTTTAGATCTGTCGTAAAAAATCCTGTCGAAAGAGAAAACACAAAACACAAAATACCCACAAAAAAAACCATATCAGTTTTCGGTAGCTTCTGAATTAAGAATCTAAAGAGCAAAAATCGTGAATTTGAAACCTATCTTTTTTTTTCCACCACCATGCATATGAATGATTTATGTAAGCTAGAATCTGTGAGCCAGGACACAAAATAGAATCTTATCTGCAGAAAATTACGCCTTATAAAAAGATGATTAGTAGAGAAAATTTTATTAACCTGTTCAGGTCGCAAAACGACGACGTTGCCCAAAACGATGACGGAACCAGATTCGTCCAGCTGTTTAGCGAACTGCAATCCTTGTTCTGGATCCGAATAACCTTCTCCACAGATCCGAATAAAGTCCAAATAGGAAATCCAGGTTTTCCCGGTCTCCCTCAGCCTCTTCTTCACCACTTCCAGCTGCGCCACCCTCAGCAACTTCTTCACCTCATCAACCGACAGACCCCCCACCTCCGGCACCGCCGATTTCGCCGCCAAATATGGACTCAATCCGTCCAACCGAATGCGATCCTTGGAAATATCCATTTCGTTTAACCTCTCCATCAAATTTTCCCCCAAAGGTAACTTCCTCATTGCGGGAGAAAACAGAGCTCCTTTATGAAGGAACCGTCTGAAAACGCCATTGCCGCTAACTTTACCGTTACTGTCTCCTGGATCCGGCGCCATGGAGGTCGTAGCTTTCCCCGCTTTCTGCGAGACTTGGTTTCGAACCGTCGATGAGGAAATCCGGCAGTTGGTGAGAGCTTGCGAAGAAATTTTCGAAATGTTGAAAAGCTTCTCAGCCAGTGTTTTCTTCAACGCCATCGCAAGAAATTGAAGAAATTAAAAACAAAAATAATAGAAATAAACTTCTTTTTTTCTTTTTTCCTTTTTTTTGGAGAGAGCTGTGAAGATTTGAAAGCTTTGCTCGTCGTTGGGGTTGGCACAATCAATGGAGGATTGGCCCCTTATATAGGTGTCCAACAAAAGAGGAAGATGAACAGAAAAAAGAAAGAAAGAAATATAAAAATATAAATGAAAATAACGCGAGAATTTGAGAAATTTGCAAACGACACGGGAGACTGGAGGGAATTAAGGGGGCTGTCCCTTGGCTTTTTTTTTTTGTTATTGCTGCCTGCCATACGTTTTGGAATATTCTTACAAAATAAATTTGAATTTATCGGGGTAGGTTAGGGAGGACGAGAAATTAGAGACATAATCACGAGAGGAAATATCAAAGAGGATGGCTCGATCACCCTACACGTGGATGGCTAAGCTCGAAGCCGCTCTAATCGTAAGATCGTAAGAAACTTTCTCATGCCCAGCTCCCCTGATGTTGACTTGTTTAATCTGGTAACTGGTAAATACATTGCCGTCCAAATAAAATGGCTGAGTAACCGTGCAAACAAGTGCGATTTTCTTACAGGAGTTATCCTGGAGGTCAAAGGATTAGAATAGGCTCCGTTACATGGGACACTTTCTCTGTCTTGAACATGGACAGGATTGATGACTGTTACAGTCACGCTAGCGTGTCGCCACATATGTTAGAACAATAAATATTGATATATCTCTTAAAAAGCTGTTTGGCATTCACGAAAATTCCTCCACAAGTTTTTCTGTTTTTTTTTTTCTTGGGTGAGAATATTTGCTACAAAGAGTTAATTCAAGAACTTGCACCTGGCAGATATGAAAGTTACCATTTGACAAGTCAGTTAATGCCAACCTGAGTAACGGTTTCATGGTTAAAATTGTAATGTTATCCACTTTTAACCCTTAATTTGGTAAACAACTAAACATTTAAACAAATTCTTTAAAAAAATGAGCAAATTTACTGGATCAAAGATGATTTTCTCCATCATCTACCTCTAAACCATTTTTTATATGAAGAAATTAAATCGTTTATATGCCATTTCTCCTTGAAGCATCAAAACAGTTATTCACCTTTGAAACATAATTTATTCTTTTTTTTTGTGTGAATTTCTAAAAAAAAAAAATCCTCATGACCAATACGGATGTGAATTCTTATAGCGTTACTTTTCATAGAAACAACCTTAATTAATTTAATAATGATTAATTATCAATAAGTTTGGGTAAAATGTAAGAAATTATTGAGTACCCCATCATGTTTTAAGATAAGCATCATGAATTTATGCTATTTGCGTATAGTAGATTCCAGTGGATATAGTCTCAAATTAAAAAAAAAATAAATAAAAAGGAGTCTCACATGCTTATTTTCCCTTTTTAATAGAAATATCTATTGCTGAATAATTTGAAGTCAGGCTCCTCAATTTGGAGACTGCCAAGAAGCAAGAACGATATTCTTCTGTTTTGGGTTGTACGCATCCGAGTCAAAATTTTTACCCCATGACCTCATGCCAACGAGTCTAAATTATTCTGCAATATCAAGCAAGTTGAATAAATAAAAAAAAATGTAACGTGATTTTATTAATAATTTGTATGAAAGGGAATTTGAATTTAAAATATTTTTTTCATTATCGATCAAATATTATTGAAAAAAGGTATTCAAGCATTTTGTTTATTACTTAATGTATAATTTTTTAAAAAAACAAAATCTATTTTTTAAATATATAAAAAAATTATTAAAAAAATATTTCTTCAACTTTATAAACTTAATTATATATTACCACTTGTAATCATATATAAATCCAAACTTTGACGTTTCACTTGAGTTTGTTATATAATTAAAGATGAAGTTATAAATACATACACTATCTCTCATGATTTTTTGCAATTGAAATCAATAACAAAATCCACGAGGTGCTTAATACAAGATTTAGATAATGGATTTGGGCTCATCATTTGAAAATGTGTCACAAAAAATTAGTAATTAATCGTGTTAAAAATAAAACTAGAATATCTTTCTCAATAATAATTTAATTAAATTTATTGTCTATTATGTGAACTGAAAAAAAAAATTCTAATAAAATTTCTACGTCTCTATCACACAATCAATGCATGTGATTGTCTATCTAAACACTAAATCATTACTATAAACGTCATATAATTGAGGTGCAAAACTCGTTTCTTTCTTTCAACATTTAACTATTAATTTGATTTATTTAATATGAATGTCTTTAGAATAATCTTTAAAATACATTAAATGAAAATAACTTTTAATACATTTTATATAAAAAAAACTTATCACTTTTTTTACGAGATTTTTATTTTATTAATTGTTAATGGTTTAAACTAATTATGCAGCTAATTAATTGAAATGCTCGGTAGGTTCAGTCACGAATTTTTTGTGAGTGGCAGCTTTGAGGTTTTTGTACAATTTCTCTTCTCATATCAGGTTTTAATGGGACTAGAGTCTTTGACTAATCAGACGTGAGACTTTATACGAAGAATTTTTTTTAATAAGTGAGGAAAAGAAGATTTGAATTTTGCTTTTTAAATCAAAAAATTATATATTAATTAATGAATCAAATTTTCAGATGCGACATCTTCATTTTGATATTAATAAAATTATTTTTCAAAAATAAAATATCAAAAAGCTTTACTATATATGATAGTAATGAGCAAAAGCATTGCATAAGCAATAACAAATACAAGAACCGAAAATTTCTTCTATTGCTTAATATATTCCTTTATTCAAGTAAGATTTCAAGAATTAATCAATTTAATAATAATTTAGGTTTGCTATTGGATGTTTGAATTTGTATTGAAATTTATTTATAGACACGATAGTAAAACCGTTACATAAGCAATAACATAATCATAGATAAAATCAGAAATATGCTCGAAAGTTAAAGGCTGGTTTGACATTTTAAGAAATTGCGTAAGCAATCACATGGATGAAATGAAAGACGTTACCACTGCCTACTTTTTTGTTTAGTCATTGTTCAAAAGACCAATAACTACTAGGCCTAATTATAGGGCTAGCTCGTTAAATTTTATAGCTTAGTCTCAACCAAACATTATTTAATTATGACATTGAAAAAATTTCATTAATTCAGAAAATAAACAATATTATTTTCAAAAAAAGGAAAGAAAACAATAAGCAATAGCATAACAATAAATAAAACTAAATACCTTCCCTTGACCATCCAATACAATCCTATGATATATAAGCAATAGGCTCATTTTTCATGCTAATGGACATTAAATTAAATTTCTATATCCAAGTTAATTATGGTACTTAGAATTTCAACCCTAAATTCCTAGAGTAATGTTTTCAATTAATAACATGTTAGACATAACCAAGGCACTAATATCTGAAAAATTATTAAATTATTTTTAAAAATATAAACAAATTTTTATTCTTTTATTGAGTTTAATTAAATTTTTATATTTTTATTTTAAATCAAATAAATTTTTATGACATTCGATTAATTATTGTTAGTAAAAATAACAACTATAATTTTTTATATTAACATAATAGAAAAGAGAGTAAGACTGTGATACAATCACATAAATATATCAAGTTACATTCAATTATGATAAATTAATATATTACACTAACATTAAATGAATCTAAATAATTAATTATAATTAATCAATTATTAATTATAAAAATTTATATAACTTTAAAAATAAAAAAATAATTAAATATAATAAAAAATAATAATTTATTTAAATATTTTTAACATATTATTTTCACTGGGTCTCGAATTTCTAGAAACCGAGCACCAACGAAGATCATTTACTAACTTATTTGCTGCCTTGATTATTTTCATCCAAAAATAATAATATTTCTATTTTTAAAAAAAACTTTTTATTTCTAGATAAAAGTATATTTTAAGTTACAGTATCAATGTGTAAATTTTTTTTTTGGAGTGAGTATCAATGTGTAAAGTTAACGATGAAAAGGAATGTATTTTATATTTGGATGGAAGAATTGGTGACACTTGGCCGATAAGTTTTTAAAAAGATGTTTTATCGATTAAAATTTAAAATATTTTATTTTAAAAAATTATTATTCTTTGTTATGTAAATATATATGTATATATATATATATATCTCGGGCAGAAACGTTCATGTCCATGGATTCCACATCTAATAATTATACAAGATTAGATGCTCGAAAGCAGTTTTATCTATTGCATGTTTCTTGGCAAGTGCTTGAAGGATTTTCTATTCCCCCCCTCCCAACCCCCACTTGGTACAATAATTTTCTTTGTTTTTCAATTGGTCAATTTCCATCCCCAAAAGGCAAAGTGCTGCACTGTTGAATTTTCCCAACAATGAAAAGCAAACATGGATTCCACCAACAACATTATTAAGGATGGTGGTGAAAATTCTCTTGCCAGTAACTTTGGTGCCCCTCACAATATGGCTTTTCCCTTTTTTATGTTTTCCTTTTGTTGGCCATGCGTCCACTCTTCAAAGTTTAGAAAGATGAGAAAATCGAGCTCTAATTGCTACAAAAATGGATCATTAATTCTCACTCAGGCTGAGGACACTAGATTGTTCCAATTCCTTATATGCTGTCCGTCCTTGTCCTTGGCATATAGGTACTCGGTTTGGTCTGAAAAAGCCTTGTCTCTAAGACAAGCTCGCACTGAATTATAACACTTGGAATGCACATTGCCTGATTAACTTTGCGTACAAAATTGGAGCTAGCACTATTTATCTTCTTGGCATGATCAATTCCATCCATTCATATGGAAAAAGCTTCAGATTGTTAACGACGACAAATTTTTTTAATACTCACTTATCAATTTAATTAATTTATATATAAAAAAATAATATCATAATCTCACACTTTAAAAATTTTAATCTAAAGTATATAATACTATATTGCGATCCGTATAAAGTTTAAATATGAAAATGACAATGATATTTAGTTGGCCATGCGCTGCAATTCTCTATGGTTTTCAATATATTGAAGGCCCTTTTTATCTATCTCTTTTGATGAATTAGCATATATTCTTGGGGAAAATTATTGCCCTGGCCTGCATCTGCATGCATGATGCTGATGTCGATTGCGGGATTGGGTTCTTTCATGTGTTGCCAGAAAGCATTAATCCTTATCGTTGAAACTCGAAGGTTGAAGACAAAGGGCTCCAACTGCCATACATAGTATTAAGTTTGCAGCTGATGAAATTACGAAAACAAAGAGGTGATGTTAGCAGAAAAAGAATTGGGTAGAGAGGTTTCATATCGATGTACGTACCTAATCACATTCATCAGAAAAGACTGATGAAGATATTCTTGTTTATTGAAGTTTATGGTATGTGGAACACTGAAAGAAAGACATGCATGATTTGGATGGCCATAAAGAAGACCTCTTGCCTTGCATCTTCGTAATCTGTTAGGTTTGCTTAACATTAAAGAACTGCAGCTCACTTTCTTAAGTAAACACGCAAAAGGGTGAAGAAAAACGGAAAAAAAAAATTCCAAATTGTGCTATAATTGATTAATTAATTAACCATTAAACTAAAGTTTGGTCAAATTTTTTGAAGTTGTCGTTTCTGGCTCCGGAGCTTGGCTATGGGTCAAGGAAAAGGATAGCTTGCCAGGTTAGCTAGCACACAATGGCGGCTCAGGAATTCTATGGTTAACATGCAATCAGATCATTCGCCTAAGATTCCATTAGCTTCATTCCTACGTTTGCAAGCTTGCCTGCATTTCGTCATAGGATTAATTTGCACCACATTCTAACCCTTGCAGGTCATAAACTTCCAAAATATCCTGAAAAAATTCAGCAAATCATCGACAGAAAGGTTGCAGAACAGATTTTGGGCAGCCCTGTTTGCTTCAAGAGGGAAAGTTTGGCTTAAATGGGTGAACTCAAAATTGAGATTTGTGGTCTAAGATTGTAAACCCATATAGGATTTTTTTATTTTTTTTATAATGAGAAATTGCATATGTTCTTTCTTATAGATGACAAATCTTTCAGCAAAAACAGGATCAACCCATTGTGCCATTGACAAACAAGTGGCCTAAGACGTGGATACAGTGATTACAAGGCTAAGCACAGAGTGATCTGGAATTGTTATCTCCTAGACGTTAAGAGAGGTTTGAAGGATGATTACCCCCGTCACCAAACTGACTCAGCATGCCCCTAGCTGGCTTACATTCATTTTATACGTGTTCTTTGGTTGTTCAAAGCTGGACGCTTGATTAATCTTTGGGTCTTAATAAACAAAAGGCTTGTTCTAGGGTATAAAAAATTTGGTTGCAGATCTAAGATAGTATGTCAAGGATCATGAAATGAACTAAAATAATCATCAAAATTCATCAAAAAGCTAGTTTGAATGAGCACATGGATCTCATCCAACAACTTCTGATGCGCAATTTATTACTGCTTAGCCATTGAATGAGGATATTGATCGTTTTTGACTTCATTTATCTTCACCCAGCAAACAGAGGAGGGGGAATGGAGGAGGAAAGGCATTTTGCTACCATATGCAACAGAAGAACTAAAATTAATACGAGGTAACCCCATTTTGGATATGCTCGAATATTAACAATAAGTCTTGATTTAAGTCAAGATCTAGAAAAGAAAAAGAAAATTGCAGACCCTGAGATATTTCCGGGAATAATCCCTGATCATACCAGTATTGCTCTTTCCTTGTCTCTTTGACCATCTCTCTGTTTCACTTAGACAAATACTGAGAGTGCGTATAAATACCTAGAGAGGAACCCTAAAATGCTTAAACAATAAAGCTTTTTTCAGTGAATAGATACCTAATGCATCCATGATTGAAGACATTTACTGTTGTTCAATGACACTGCCAATATAGGCCACTGGAATTTCTCCTTTCTATATTCAATCATGTTCATAGATCACATGTAATGTACTGCATCGTAAAACTTGGTTGGTATTCTGTGCCATACATGCCTTAATCATATTGATAGACCAACCATATAGTATATTTCAGAGATTTGAAAAGGCAGAAAAGCATATTCCAAGTTCCCGCAGTTCAAAATGCTTGTACTATGGCCTAAGGGCTAAGCTAACATACACCAAGATCAGGCTTTAGCCTTATGAGCCAAGGTGCCTTATCAGGAGCATCTTTATTTTTACCCATTTAGACAGGGAAATTGTGCTGAAGTTAACGGAACTTTGTTCATCTAATTTTAAAAACTCAGCTATTACAGTCAAATGCATTTACAAGAAGATTAGTCAATGTCATTTCCCCCAGAGAGAGCCCTAAAAATCGACCTTCAACAAACACCATAGGACTCTGTTTCAATCACTTCCATTTTCACACATTCACAATGAAACATTTGTTCAACATATCAGGATGAGAGTCCGATCTGTATAAGCAACACCAGCTTGAATCTCTGGACCAATTAAATACTTCTAGCAAATCTTGCCATTTAGGTAGTCAATAATCCTCTGTTGGAAGCACTTCATAAACATTACTGGTCACTCAAGCAAATCATAATTACATCATACCTGGCAGCTTTCCATCAAAGTGGGTTTGCTAATTAGCCTCACAAGTTTGTCAAGATACCACATCCCTAGCAAATAGGAGGTCACATATCTTTTCCTCGATGGGAATGGATTCACGGAAATGAGCATTCTTCAGCAGACTTTTCTTTTCTTTCCTGTAGGTTTCTGCCGTGGAGACTCTACCAAGTTTCTCAAGACCAGCTAATAGGACACAGTATGTGCCTAAAGAAGGAGAAATCCCTTTCCTGCGCATGGTTTTGTATATTTTAAGTCCTTTATCAGCAGTCCCAGCAGCGAAGTAGACACCAACCAAAGCACTGTAGGTAGCAACGCATTTCTGATCTTCAGGCAATAAATTAAAAATCTTTGCAGCACAAGTGGGTCTTCTAGCACATCCAAGCCTATAGATTAGGAGCGAACCAAGATAAACTCCAAGAGAATGTCCAGCTCTAGTCATTTCGGCAACAATCTCCACTACATCAGTAAATGCGTTCGTTCTTATTAAACTGCCTATCAAAGCAAGATATGCAGCTCTCTCAAGATTTATACCTACTTTCACACTGTATTTGAAGGCCAATAAAGAACCATCCAGCCTGCAATGGTTACAGTTTATATCGATGATGGTAGAGATCATTTCAGAGTCCAACCTTATATTCTTATCCATCAACTCAGTAAGTAAACTATCAGTTGCAAGAAGATTTTGCTTTTTCAAAAGAGCCCACATTAGTCCTCTGTCAAAACTTAAAGGAGCTTCAGAAGCATTTCCTGTATACTCAGCTTCTGTTTCATTGCCAATGCATTCAACAGAAATATGAGGATGAACTTCCCTGAGAAGGACATTGCTCTCACCAGCAACTTTAAAGGTCTCAAGAGCTTCTAGAAATATGGGATACCGAAGAACAAGATAATTTTCTTTCATGTACTGAAGGATTTGGGTCATTGCCCTTGTCTCCCCTGCTTTGCAACATTTCTCAACCAAAATATTGCATGCAGCTTTATCAGGCTTAACTCCAGCTTCTTGCATTTTGTTGAAAATCTCAAGGGCTTCTTCATACTTTCCTGGATCCACCACAAAACAAATAAACATCTTGTTTGTAAACATAATAGTCCAGCAAAGACAGCCAGATGCAGCCAAAGCAATTTACAGTAGCATTCATCTGTGTTAGAATGCCAAACCACCAAAATTGTAAATGCATAGAAAATGTCAAAAAGAACACTTCTGTTTCGGATCAAGGACAGCAATTTCAGATACAAGCTTTCACATTAATCTTACTTTTGTACCCAATAAGAACACTGTAAAGTAAACAAGATTAAGAGCCTATGAATGCAACTCATCAATTCTGTTTGTACTTTTACTGTAATGCTGCAGTTTTTAACAGCTTTATACAATAAGAGTTTCAACCAGTAGCAAAGTCACCTCAAACTAAGTCTTTTTGAACTATATGTGAGGAACCGAGGATGGTTATATGGATTATGCAAGAAGTGGTGTATTTTTTACAGTTTTCAACCATGTTCTCTTAGGTTCTCCTCTCACTCTTTTGACATTGGTGTTTTTTTTTTTTTTGAAAGGCAAATTTATTTATAAGGTCTCACAAGGGAGACATAAGCTTACAGCTAAAGACAAAAGAATCCTCGCACACGAGGATTGGCTACGCATCAGAAGTGGTCTGATGTGCCTACAAAAGAAAAATGACATTACAGTATTCAAGTTAATGTCATAACAGCCCACAGCCCTAAGGAATAAAAGAACTCTGTTTCTACATAAACCAGTATGCCTAAATGGACCTATCAACATGAGGAGATGAGGACATGGGTGTTTTTGATTAACTCAAAATTTCTCACATGAGCCAAAGAGAGTATTAAAAACAGAACTTTCATTCATCAAGGATTAAAACATACAATGCCATGAAATTAGTGTGCCAATGTACCTGAACCAACCTGAGTTTATATCTGATACACCCTCAACACGTAACTCTATGCACAGTCAATAAATTGCAACTTGCCACCTCATTATAATTTTTTTTCAAAATTAATGAACATTGATTTTGATGAAAAGGCATCAAATTATAAACTCTAACAATATAAATTCTAAAGAAATATGCACCCCATTTAGACAATTCAACAAACAGGAAGACAACAATCGTCAAACAAGTCGTTCTTCTACTCACCAGCCCCAAAAAGATACTCCATCAGCACTGTATAAGTATGACAATTAGGAGAAATCCCAGACTGAAGCATCTCCTTGTACACATCAGTACCTTCCTTAACTCTCGCATTGTCAAACAAAACTTTCATATAAGCCGTATAGGAAACAACAGTAGGAAAACACCCTTTTCGTCTCATTTCCTCCCACATTTCCACTGCCCCATCAACATCTCTACTCTTTGAAAGCCAATGCAAGACGGAAGTATAAGTAACAGCATCGATTTTTAAGCCCTTTTCTTGCATTTGCTGAAACAAATACTTCATCGATGAAACCCTCCCAGCTTCTCCAAAAATGTCTAGCATTGTTGTGTAAGTGAACTGGTCATGCTTAAAGCCTTTAACTTTACCAACCCAGTTGAAAAAAAGCCATGCTTTTTCCATTGGTGGGTGGGTTTTGAGCACTTGGTTGATTGTAAAAGAGTCCCATTTGATGGGTAACTGCTTCAGCTGCGTTTCAGCTGCGTCCCAAGTTGAGTACTTGAGGATTTTGTAAATGTTTGATACTGTGTCTCGCATGTAAACTTTTGGCTCAACTTCAAGTGGTTTCATTGGGTTTTTTAAGGTTTTAGTAAATTTGTATTTGGTGGGTGTTTCAGGTTTGTGTTGATGAAAGGAATATAAACATCTGATGGGGTATTTCCAACGTCTGAATATTGTGACGAATCCATGGAGATAATTAATTCTCAACATATATTGAGATCAGAGCTGTATCATGGACAAGCTTTTGCTTTTTTCAATTCAAAGACTGAGAGAATGCAAAGACTGAAAGTTAAGAATCATTAGATAAAAAAATTTCCAGAGTGACTGAAAATTATCACCACTTTGAATAGACTTTTGGGTTCAGTAGATTCTGCTCAATCAAATCATACACCCAAAGCTCAAAGGTGCTAGAATCCAGCCCAGGCAGCAGCAGCACAGGCAAAATGCGTTGGGATTGAGAAAACAAGCAAAGATAATTTCAAGCATTTGGATGTTTTGAGCAAAAACTTCCATTCCGTTTGAGGTGTTGAGATTCCTTCAAGGACTATTTTTGGCAATAACTGTTCAACTTTAGACTTTTCTCTTTTCCTTTGTTTTCTTTCTTTAAGAGCATCCGTACAGTTCCTATTTTCCATAGCATTTAGACCTTTTGCCTAGTGTTTCCTATTTCTTGGATGTGAGTTTTGTTAATATTCTTTCGCAAGGGACCAAAGAGTTTCAATTCATTGCCGGAAGTCGGTGCAAAGAAAACCAGACTTAGGGGAGTACCCACTCTTATAATGTTAAATATCACTTGATACCATGCACAGCACTGAACTGAACAGGGAGAAATATGACTACACATAATAATATATTAAATTTAATCATTAATAATCAAAAGATTTATAATAGATAATAATTTTATATAATATGTAAATAAAAAAAAACTTATAATAATATTTTAAAAAAAATTTACTTGACAATAGTAATATTTTTTTTAATATGAATAATTAAATTATTTGTAAAAAAATTTATCATTTATTTTGTTTCGAAATATTACATTTCTCAATATAATCAACTAAAAAATTAATGTAGTTAATATCAATATTTTTATTTTATTATATTTATATTTATAATACTAAATATTAAATTATAATACATAAAATAAAAATAGTTAAATATGATATACAGAATTAATAATTTCTTCTTATATTCAAAATAATTTCTTTTTAACTAAATATAAAATATAAAACACATTAAAAACATATACTCGAGATAATTTTTTTTATATAATTAAGATTAATAAAAAATCATATATTAGTGAAATTTTAAACAACAATCAATAATGCAACACTAGAACTTATATTTGAGAATTACATATATAATAATTTTTTAATTTTTAAAAATTAAAATTATTAAAAATAAAATTCACATAATAAAAAAAAATCATTACAAATAAGAGATATAACATATATAACAAATAAAAATATAGTTGATGATTGTATAAATTTTAAAATATATATATATAAAAACTTAAAAATATATAAACAAATAGAATATAATTAAAATATATATAATAATAATAATATAAATAAAAATTTTATTTTTTTATAATTTCACAATATAAGAATAAAAAAAAGGAAAAGATGAGTGAAGAAACTTAAAAATTCAAAAAGAATTTTAAAAATTAGAGTAAAATTGAATGAAGTTTGTAAAATTATTTTAGTATTTTTTTAATTATATTAATTATTTAATAAAAAATTAATATAAAAATTTATTAAAAAATATATAATATATAAAAAATTTCAAAAATTTTGAGGCTATTGCAAAGGGACGCTCCGCCCCTGCCTGCACACAAGTGAGCATGGAGACCGGTGATCCAACCTTCGCATCTCAAAAATCATTATAATTCCTGAGGAGTATGCAATAATGACAATGGCCTAGAAAGCACACTGCAGAAATGACATGTTTTGGATTCAAGTGGAAGCATCAAAGAGAGACACCTGTAACATAACAGCTTGAGAACATAAGAAAATCATAATCCTGGCAATGACAGCAACCTTGCCCTTTTACATCCCTGCTCCCCATGGCAACAAATCCACCTAAATTATCTATGGTTTTCATAAGATCTATTTTATAACAAGAACCTCTCAAGACTGGAAGTGTAAGATTCATTCAACCCAAAGTAGTCAATTAATTCATAGTCCCAGATTTTGTTTTCTTCAACCCACCTTTTTTTTGATCTTCTGCAGAAACACACAGATGATTAAAGGCCTTTCTCCTGGTCAGAACTCAGAAGTAAGCAAGCATAGCATTGTATTGATGTTAGACCAGTCTCCATCAGTTTTTATTTCATCACTGACTTCCCACAATCCTACATATTTACTATGAATTAATTGAGACAGAAGGATTACTTGAGAAGTTGTAGATACTAATTCTCCTTGCGATGAACTACTCATGTTCTTCTACAGACCAACTTGCATGATGCTTAAAATTCATGATTGCCCCAATCATGCTACCAGCACTAACCAAATAACTAACTTCGATATTTCCGATGACAAGTGCATCTATAATTATAGTAATCTAAGTCTAACCCATGAACCAGATCCAAACACTTGACATGCACTAAACTCAAGGGAGTTTTTTCTATAAAAGAATATGCTCTAAGAATGAACCAATATTAGACCAGCTGAACAATGTAATTATTATATATAGGTAAAATCCAAATTGAGTCACCTCATGGCTGGAGGATGAATTTCATTACCTAGAACATAAAATAGATACAACATAAGCACAGTGAGATATGTCATTTCTAGAGTTCCCAAGGGCTGCCTCCAGTCGTTGACGTGCCTGAATGTCTTGTCATTATCTGCAAAACCACTGCCCTTGCCTTCCTAATATCACGGCTACACACATCAGCCTGTCGACCCAATTTCTCAATGATCTCCATATATTCTTCTGACTTCCTCTTGATCTCATCAAATGCAAGCTTCACTGCATCTTCTTCTCTAAGAGCAAAATCAGCATAATGCAACAGTGACTCGATCTCTATTTCCAATCGGCTGACAAGCATTCTTATGTTATCCAAGTCACCGATTGTAATCCTAACACCAAGCTCCACTGTAGTTATTAACTCTCTCTGCCCTTTTAGCTCATTCTCGTAGCGCTTCCAAAGCCAGTTACACCATTTTCCTACTGAACCGATAGGAACTGCCAATGCACCTGCCAAAGCTGTTACAACAGGTGGTGCAGCTATGGCTGCTGCCACCACAGAAAAAATCAACACAGAGACAAAAGTGGCTACAAACAAGACATTTGACACCCTCCTCCATGTTTTCAGAGATTTCAATTTCTTGTCAATCTTTCTTTTCCGAAAAAGCAATTTCCCTAGCATTGATTCCTGCTGCCTTCGGACAGAGTCAAACAGTAGAAAGAACTCCTTGCTGAAAGGTTCCTCAGCTGCTTTAAATTTCCTTAGTTCTTCTAAGGTCTTCACAAATTTCTTCCCATCAGTCCCAACTTGTAACTCAACCTCTTCCTCAAACTTCCTAACTGCCAACTGAATAATTAATTGGTTATTTCGAGCACGTTTGAGGCAATTCTCAAGAGCAGTACAAAAGTCTAAAGTCTTTTTACTGTTATCAAAGTATTCCTCTACCAAAGAAAACAATTCCGGATTATCCCATATATCTTTCTGACTTTCTAAAATGATTTTGGCTACTTCCTGATTCGTTTCAAGAAGACAACCAGTCACCTCTTTGAGTGAGTCGAATGATATGGATGAAACCCCCAAACCAGCAGCAAGTGCGCTGATGACATGGTTAGTACGTTCATGGAGGGTTGCATCAAAATGTTGCAAAGCTGGATCATGTCTACAAGCAGCCTCATAAGAGCTCAAGTCAGCTTCTAATTTAGAATCGGTCTGGACTTGGGAGGACGGTTCTGGATCACCTCCTTTCGTTTTACTAGATTGACAGCCCATCATAGCTGATAAGGATTCAAATGGTAATGGCGAAGATCCTAAAAACCCAGAAGCACTTTTGGACCTTGAGGTAGGTGATTTTCACTAAAAGGATGAGATGAAAATTATATAGATATAGCTTTCAGCGTAGAAGTTGACTTAAGGACCAAAGCTTGTGGTGTGTCAATTCTAGATAAAATGGCAGAGGTGTGATGACCTTTCAGACATCAGTAACCCATAGACTGCAAAGATCTAAAACAAGTAAAACCCAGTAATCAAGTGCACTCAATGGCCCTCTCAGAAGAAACTTTTTCAAAAATCCGACAAAATCCAGCTAATCCTTTCTTCAAGTACAAAAAATGACCAAAATCAGCAAAGCTTGGGTAAGATCTTAAAACCCCAGAGATGGTTTTCACGTGTGGATACCAACCAGATCCAGATGAGAATGAAAACTAATTATCCCAAAAAGGTAAAAAGATTAAATCTTTCAAACATCCCAGAAATGGATGGGCTTAAAGTACCTGAATTTAGCTGAAAAGTCAAAGACTCTATGGTTTCCCTGATTTCGTCTCGCTTGAAATCCTTAGCAGACAGTAAAGCTCAAAAATCGACAATCCAGCTCAAACTCTTGATCGGAATTGAGGAAGCAATCTCGAATAGAATTGATTGATTTACCAATAACTCAGAAAAAAAAAAGTATTTAAAAAGGGAATTGAGGTAATGCAAGAGATGGGGTTGCAGGAGTGAGGAAACTGGGAGGGAAAGTGAAGTAAAATAAGAGAAAACAATTGTAAGAAAGTGGAAAGAGAAGAGAGAAGCAGTCAACGTTGTTTCATTCTCTTATACTTTTCAACTACGTATAGTATATCACAGTAAGTGTAGAGTTTGAAAGTCAAACAAGGAAGCTGAACTGGTAAGCTTTAGACCACAACCAAGTAGTTGAAAGACAAGGCGGATCCCTCGAAGAAGGTTCTGTCATGTAATTACAACAATAATAATGTTTTTTTTGGAGAAAATCTCTGCGGTTAGTTCCGTTTTTCTCCATTGAATTGTGATGAAAGCAAAACCATAGGATTAGAACGTGTCCATCAGTCATTCGGACAAGGCTTAGCCAAAACCATAGGATTAGAACGTGTCCATCAGTCATTCGGACAAGGCTTAGCCTTTCTCTTTTGGGAGTGCTTTTACTTTGTTTTTTGGTCGATTGGTTGTGTCTTTAGTTAAAGCTCCAATAATCACGCCCTCTAACGGTGCTCTGTTTCTAATTTGTCATCATAGAATTAATTGCTATTATGTATATTTAAAAGAATTACTAAGAGTATTGCTAATTTTAACAATGAAAGTAGGTGCGATGTCAATTAGTTTCATCTACATCATCTACCCACTTTTAGCTTTAGCTTTAGCTTTAAGCATGTAGCATGCTTTTATTAGAGCATATATATAGATATTCGGTTAAAATATTTTTAGTGCCTTAAAATGTTTTTTATTTTTTGAAAGATTATTGAAAAATTTTTGTAGAAAACTAGCCATTGTAGTATAGTAGATAGTATTTTTGCCTGTCACGGGGTGACCAGATTTCGATCCCCGGCAACGGCGTCTATATTTTTTTAATGGAATCCATAGATGTAGAGTCAAAGCTTGGAAACTTTTTATGTTCCTTTCCATTCAATTAATGACGGATTAACATATTTTAATCAAGAGTTTTAACATGTCAGTTGCATGGTTCATCTGCTGAGACAGGCTGGTGAATCATGCCTTTTTTGATGCAAGGATTGTGAGTGTGATGGAGTAGGTTGGATGTTAGAATTTGGAGTCCTGAAAAAAGAAATGCTAGAAACTTATGTTGACATTCGTGACATGCTTGTGCTTCCCTGGATCCTGGCCACATCTTCATATCAGTTGATAAAAACCTGAAACTAGTAGATTAGGTCCCCCCGAAATTAGGAGATTTAATTGCATGGCCATTGAGCAGGTTGAACTTTATGAAAGCTGAGTTCACCATGCTGCCTGCAAATGGCTATCAAGAATCTTGATCAGACAGGTAGGCAGTAGATAGATATTCAATTCTTGCTTCCAAATCATGGCACTGATCTCCTATATTTGATATGTAGCCAAACCCCCGACATTAGAAGTCATTACGGGAAATGAAGACCATATAACCCGTACATTACAGAACAAGCATGAACTCAGCCTCAGCTGTTGAAATTGCTGCAAGAAAGCAGGGATTTTCCAAGTGCATTGAGGCAAAAATGTGAGTGGTTGAGTGCCAGAATGGACATCAAAGATTAATCTTCAGTCATTCATAGTTTGTACTTGTGAAAATTCAGCTAACAATACGATAGTGCTGTACAGATTGACTAATTCCCACCTTGTTTTGCCTATACTTTGTGTAGGTTCAGCTCTCAAAATTCCTCATCATCTGCCTCACTTCTTGAATGAAGCATGTTATGTACAACATAGAAATTTCATTATATTTAGGCCGATGCTGAACAGGGAAGAACAAAGTCATCTTGCTGGTTAGATTAGCATCAGTTTGCCAGGAGCGATCGACAGAGCTGCCTAATGCAGATTCTGCGGGTCCTATTTCGTACTCTTGGTGAACTCTTATTAATCAATCAACGATCAGTTTCAGATTCCCAGTTATTGACAACAAAATCCTTCCCACCAATACCCTTAATTGTTGATGGATTCCACACCAGGCATCATGGAATCGAAATGTCATGCTGATCCGTTAATTTTACAAGTTTTTCCTTTTCCTTTTCCTGGTTTTGTTTCTGGGGATGGGGAAATTGCTAGCTATAAACCACGTACAACACAATTAACAAGGATCATATCCTTGTTATTTTTCCATTAGGGTGACTCAGTGACCTTCTGCGAACAAGCTAAGCAGGAACCAAGAAAGGGACAAACAGAGCAGCCATTGACGACTTCAATGCAGCTCGTTACCAAGTTGATCTAGGGAAGTTGACATCTAACAGCATTGGATTTATTATACGCTAGACAGCTAGAGCTGGTGGTTGGCAGGATAGAAGGCAAACCAGACAAGGAAATTTCAATTGCATGGGCAAAAATGAATCAAGGAAAGGGGAGTTCAAGACTGGTCCACAAACCAACTAGCTAAACTCTGAAGGGATCGATAAATACATATTCATTTAATAGAGGCAGACAGATCCCAGAAAGCACTACACATGCAGAAAATGAAAATAGAATAACCAAACTTTGCAAATTACAATCAGAACTCAGCAAAGTTGCCAAGCCTCTAAGGAGGACCCAAGTTTTTGGCCCTCAAACTGGGGAAGAAAAGCAGAAGTAATCGATCAAGCAACCAAACAAAAATAATATATTGAACGCAAATATCATAACATCGCATTCATGACTGAGCAAGAAAATTGGAAGTGACTGAGCATCATTCTCGACAATCTTGACATTGAAGACAATAACACAATTTGAACTTCGTGGAGCTTGGTTCTTCAATTTTCAACTACTTGACTTCAGTTGAATTCTTCACCTTTCAAAATCTAAATGTACAAAAATAAACAAACAAGATTCACAAACTTCTTTCTATTTGACTTACCTCAAGGATTCCACTTTAACCGACATAGATCATGTCCTTGCTTAATATTTTCCCGTGGTGAATTTTATTATCATAAGCATACAAGCCTGAAAATTCCAGTACCAGGTAAACAAATATTTCAAATCTTCTGTAAGTCACCTAAATAAAAAATTAGAGCAGAACAAGCTTTGTTTCAAATTTTCATTAAACTGCTCTCACTAGCACCTATCAAGACTTGTTTGTAACCTGAGAGTTTCACACACAAAAATGGGAAAGGATTTGCAGAGGCAGTACCATTGCAGGCAATTTCTTGAAAGATACACATAACCTGCCCCTTAATAAACTAAAATCTGTAGTTTCATCCAGGATTTGTGGACAGGTAACGAAAAATTCACAACCAAGCACCAAGAACAACAATTACAATCTCAAAAGTCACCAACATCACAGAAACATGCGTGGAACTAGCAAAATATAGGAAGTGCCTAATTCATTCATACCACAGTCTTACCAGATTAATCATTGTATCCAAGATGCAGAACGAACTCACAGATTTTTGGTACCATTTCCAAAATAAAAAATTCCAGGTTCAAACAATTAAACTCATAAGATCAACAAATAAGGAAGAAATTAACAATTAAACACCAACTTGGGAATTTTATCATCACTATCACCCTATTACACCCTTTTAACAAGAGAAATTTCAGCACAGAGAGAAATAAAATTCTATCTTTATCATCCTTGTAGAAGAATAGTCTAACATTAATACTACTCACCTGCTTCTTTCTGTAAGCCTTTTTGGCTCAAACAGAACAAGAAGCAGCAAGCCAAGGCCTTTTGTCTAAAAAAATGTTTTAGACAATTCCACCTCCATTAAACCATCAAAAGATAATACAAATTATACAACAAGAAAACAAAAGTTAGTTTTGCCTGTAAGCTATATAATTAGCCAAAGCGACCAAAGGAGCAGCTTTCTCAGGATCAAATCCTTGGAGCGACTCCAGCGCATCACTCTTCAACTTCTCTGCAAACTCCCTTGACTTCTCTATCCCCATCAGCTTTGGATAAGTCACTTTATCAGCCACCAAATCTTTCCCTGCAGTCTTCCCTAATTCCTTGGATGACTTTGTCACATCGAGAATATCATCCACAACCTGAAACAAAAGCCCAATATTCCGGGCAAACTTCCTCAACTTTTCCACATCTTCATCACATCCACCTCCAAGAATTGCCCCCAAAACCACGGCCGCTTCAAGCAAAGCAGCGGTTTTGTGAACATGAATAAATTCTAGATGATCCAATCCCACATCTGTTAGTCCCTCACTATTTATATCCACAACTTGACCAGCCACTAACCCTTCAGTTCCAATAGCTTTAGCTAATTCCCCAACTGCCTTTACAACCCTACCAGGCGTAACACCAACTGTAGAAACAGCTACATGTTCAAAAGCAAAAGCTAAAAGAGCATCCCCTGCTAAGACAGCTATATCCTCACCAAAAACTTTGTGGTTTGTCGGTTTTCCTCTACGAAGATCATCGTTATCCATGCAAGGAAGATCATCGTGGATTAAAGACATGGTGTGGATCATTTCAACAGCACAAGCTGCCGGCATAGCCATGGATTCTTGGCCACCAACAAGTTCACAGGCAGCTAAACAAAGCGCAGGGCGGACCCTTTTGCCACCTGCTAAAAGAGAGTAACGCATTGCTTCGTGGATTTTAACAGGGTCACGGAGTGAAACAGCTGAGTCCAGAGCTTGGTTAACTGTACTGGCTTTTTGAACCATGTAGGATTTGAAATCAAAGCTTGGTTTTGGAGGGTCTTGTTCTTCGTCCTTAATAGTGTCTTCTTTGGTAAGGACTGCGGAAATTGAAGTTAGAGATGTAAAGCTGCGCTTTTTGGGGGTTGAAGATGACAAATTTTTGAGGGGATTGAAGGGGAAGGATCTGGGTAAAGGAAGGGATTTGGATCTGGAAGCTTGGTTGAAAATGGAGTAAGATTGAACCCAAGAACCCAGATTCACTGAAGTCATTTTTTTTTTCTTTGGGTGTTTGAAAGATTGGGTTTTATTTTATGTAGAAGCAAAAGGAAGAAGAGACCTTGACAGAAAAGGCTGCAATGAAGATGGAGAGCAGTTATGGGGGTCAGCTAAGATTACCAAAATCTAATGCAAATTTTCCAGTTTCCCAAAACTAGTTAAGGACTCGTGCAATGAGGAGATGGGAAGTCGTGGTCCAAATGTTGGCCCTATAAAAATGGCACAGATCTGGAAAGTGGAGGAGTTGGGCAAAGGAAAAGAGAAGAAAGCTAAAACTTCAATGGAATTAGAAATGGATGAGCATTAGTTAAATGTTAGCCATCAGAAGGAGCAAGATAGGATATTGGGATTTGCGTGGCTTCGTGTAGCATTGGCATCTTTCGCAGCCCCCACCATATAAAATGGGTGCTTCGCCTCGCACTAAATACTGATTACTTTTTAGTATATTTAATTGACATCAGCAGCTGAGTCAGTACAGTATTGTTTAGGCTTGGTTTGATGCGGACGACGACTTATTTCAGCAGTATCTTTCCATATAGTACATATATATATATATATATTTGCTTTATCTTTAAATAGACTTGAAAATTTTATTTGAGCATATAAAGTTGTATATAAAAAAATTACCTTAAAATTTAAATTTTGTTCACATTAATCTCTAACCCAAAAAAATTTGTCCACAAACATGCCTCCTTTAATTTAACAAAATGTAAAATATAATAATTAATAGCCAAAGAAGAAGATGAGGATTATCCTATTTTCAAAGGGAAATTTTTCGACCGAGATGTAGATTCCTCTCAAAACCGACAGAAGTTGTACCATAACTGGATTAAATACTCCTACTTATATCCTTTTTGGGTTTTTTTATTATTAAGTGTTGATTAACTAAATTTTAAATACCACACAATGTTTTCTAAGCCCTAGAGTGCTACTTAAACTTTAATCTCTAATAAAGAAACCAAAACCTTCCCTAACATGGTCCTGCATAGATTTTTACTCATCTTGGAAACCTCAAGATGAGAAACGAGAAAAATTGAATAAAAAAACAATAAAAGAAGACCCGAGGAAAATGCAGAACATGGATATCTCGTGTAAGAAGGCTGCGTCCAGAGACATGTCCGACAAGATATTCCATCAAAGTACCACTGACGTGTTCCTCGATCTTGGCCTGCCTGAAACCATGTTTCATGCATTAAACAATTTCGTCCTGAATATGGTCAGGGAAATGACCAATTCAGTGCATTTGATTGATTCAGCAGCAGCTAAATCCAAATCCTAAGACAACAGAAGAGAAAAGCAACTTGCTTTGTTCACCATCAAAATCATATTGCTTTCACTTCCTTCGTTTAAAAGTCTTCACTTGTCATGGTCATAACATTATAATTTCACTACAATGTGAATGTTAGATAGTTTGACGTTCACATTTGGATGATGTTCCAATAAACAGTTTCAAATAATCCATCATATGATTAAACTAAAAGCTATCAAGCTGACAGCAAACTCATGTCCTCACCAATCTAAGCCCTCGATGACTCTGTGTAACCAATCTAAAGCCCTAATCTAGCTTCCAAGTAGATATATCTCAAAAGAAGGATGAGCAGTCAATTTTTCATGTTCCTTTTTTGTTCAAAAAGACAGCCAAGAACTACATTGAGGATAATCCAATTCTCTTCAATTGACAGGTCTTACTTGTTATACAGGTAGAGAATGCTGAAGATAAAGAATCCAGCCATCTGCATTCAACGAAAACAAATGCTTACTACAGATTTATTATTAGAAAATAAAGAGCTATCGTGCAGATAGATATGTTAGTATGTATAAAACACGCTCAAAGAGGTGAGTACCGTGGTAAAAGAAGCTCCATAATACGGGAAAGCAGTTGTTATAAATCTCTCATATTCATTGTGCCTGAAGGGTCGAACTGGAATCTGCAAGTAATAATGTCTATTAATTAGATATGGAAGAAAATATTTGCTTTAGGAATATGCTGCCGCATATGGCAGACAGTGACAGAGGCCATATCTTCACACACATAATCTGAACACATGCACATGATTTAATTAAGACTATGTATGATTGTGTGTGTGGGAGAGTTAGATTTGAAGAGGTGATATCTTTAGAGGAGTTTTGCAACAACGCAAAATCTTGAATTGGATTAGAGAGAGAGAGTATAGATCGTTGAGGAAGGAACGAAAAGAGCAAAAAGAGGAAAGGACGAGCGGATTGAGGGAAAATGAGACAGTGCAGAGAGAAAAGTGACATCAACAAGCTTCAGGAGGAGAAAAAGGTGATAAAAGACTCTAAAGAACTGCATTTAAAACCAAGTACATATCAACTCCCTCATTAAACAAGTTGTAAAAGAGCTTGTTCATGAACAAAACTTCAGCTATGTTTGAGCTCGCCTTGTTGATTAAATGAGTTTTTATGTTTTGTTTAGACTTGTTCAAGTAGCTTGATGAAAAAACCAAAACAAGCCTAAGCCAAGCTCATTTATAAGCAATATGATAAACATCTTGTCTACACCATTATAAACATGTTTGAATAGCAGCCTTTCTCGAAAAGCAAGAGACTTCTCTTGATACTTAAAGCATAGCTCTGAAACAAACTTTTTCTACCAAACTAGCTACAATTAGGAAGTATGCAATGGACATGCAATTGTAGTGCTGGTTTTGGAAAGTTTTAGATGAGATAGTCTTGGAAAAACACATCACATGTACCAGAATTTAAGAGAATACTTACCCATCCCCAGATCATATCTGGTATACTTAACAATTTTTCTAATATCAAGTACTAAGCTAAAATATCATCCAATTAACGACTAAACGTTCATCCAATCCACTCATTAACAGTTGAGTAACATTTTCAGTTTCTAAAACCATTGTCTTAATAAGTCCAAATGGATTTTATAATGGTTGTGAAATATGAAAATTTTTCGAGGAAGAACTACAAAGAAGTATCATACATATAGAATCAAGCCAGATCCCAGAAGTATCAACATATAGAATCAAGTGCTGTACCTGTTTGGAAAGAGATAAGCTAGTGTAGCCAAGCCTGAGATAGTCAACCTTAAACTGAAATACCCCATAAACATCAGGCACCTTGAATGATGCATGATACAACCCCTGTAAAATTAGACATACACATACATATGTACATGACATCAGTTGCAGTAGGGTTGCCAAGTTGAAAACACAAGAACCTGGCCAAAGAATACCTTTCCATCAGTTGATAGTGTTTTTAGAACGTAAGGGCTCATCATGTAAAACTGGACCTGAACATCATCTGCCACATAGGTCTCCCAGCTTTTTCCAGACCACTCATATATCTTGACAGAAAATTTCTGCAATCGTATATATTATGGGAGATTCAGTGTGAATAGTTCTCTTAAATAAACAAATTTTTAACAAAAACTTTTAACAGAACAAAATTGATGGGGACAGTACCAGGTCATCTTTGATCCTATAAATTGCAGGCTCATCAGTTTCTCCAACTTTGTTATGCTTAAGATTAACAGCCTGAAATTAAGCATAAGATTTAATAGTGTAAAAGAAGACAATGCAAAAGCATTTTTGTGAGCAAGTTAGATATGCAAAGACCATTGGCTTCCTAACTGGATAAAAAAATTTGCTATTTTTATACTATATGGACCACACAAATCAACATAGCTCAGAATGTCTCACCTTCAAGTGACCCCTTTCATGGAAGACCCATTTGCTAATTTCTGTCACAAACTGCTCATTACCTGATTTCTCATATCTGATATAGCATAATTAAGAGGAATGTTAGGTACTTACTTGAAATATCACTGACAAACAGCAAAAACTGTTTGTTTCTCTCAAGCAGAACACATGGTGGAACAAGAAAAAGTAAAGAACACTTGCAGCAATACAAATTCACACAGATATTCATTGGAGGGATTTTTTAGTGCTAAAAATCATTAAAAGAATCCAAGATCCACCCAACATCTAAAGAATGTGTAAAAAAAAAAAAATCAAAAGTCTGTTCATGATTTACCAACTACATAGGCAGCAACGCTGCAAACAGAAACTTCTAAATCCATGCATTAATTGGGATGAATAAGAGCATCAGATAAAATAGCATACAGAGTCATTTTGCTTTTACAATTATGCTCAAAAGGTTGATTCATGATTTGCCAACCACAGTTAGTATAGCTGCAAGTCACTAACTAGTAAGTTTATGCTTTAACGTGGATCAATAAAAGCAATGAGCACACCAGCAGGCATTCTAGAGAATGGAATAAAGAAAAAAGTTGTCTACACCAATATTTCACACATATGTAAGTATGCATCACATTAAAATTAAATTCTAATGGAAACTAGTCTTTGGCTCTTTTCCCTGTGAAGGAAGAAAAGTTCAAGTGCTGTTGAAACTAATTGATCATCGATTTCCCTATTCTCACTCTGTTACACATGTGAAAACTATATGTATAGACACACGCAAACAATTATCTTTATAATGACTATGCAAATAAACAGATCATTTCCGTGGAAAGACTGGTTACTAGTATTATGCAGATTATGAGAAAATGAAAGATAAGATTATCTTACAAGCCATTTATCAACAAAAAGAAAATATTCTGGTCTCACTTACTTATCTGGGCTCCCGGCTTTCTGCACAGCAGTTCTTAACAGCCTAAATTGCACAAAGAAATTTTATCAATGAAAATGAAGAAACAATATTCTAAGCCCATATATCAAAAACACCACATAATCATATACCGGTTACTAAACAAATCCAGAGAGCCCGCAATCATGATCCGAGCATTGTTTCTAGCCTGCATTATGCAAAGGATTGTCAATAACACTTTAAAGCACATAAAGTAGGTGAAAATGCAACCAATTATCCAGCTTCCCTTAGGGAAACAGGAGCTAAAGCACAATTTCATGTTATGGATCCACATGTCACATAACAAAAAGGCAATTAGGAAGGAAGATTTATAACTCTATCAAGGAAATAAATGGCACATTTCATGGGGAAAGATATTCAAGAAGAAACATCATACCTGCACAACTGACACCAAAGAAATGGCAGATCCAGTAAGCAATGGAGGGCTTGACAATTCGGATTTTGGGTTAGCAGAATAGGCTGAAGGGGATGCAGAAAGCACCTTCAAAACCTACACATTGTATCATAAACCTCAAAAACATCAGCCTACATTCAGCAAAAGAAAAGCACCACTCATCTTCAAGCTTTACCAGGTTATTAGCCGCATTTACAGAATGTGCAATCCCTTTGAAAATTACTGGCGCCTAAAACATTCACAACAAGCAAAATTTCATTTAATAAGATGAACATTTTAGCCATCAATTTCAGATTTTTTTTTTTACAAAGAAACTTAAAACATCTCTACTAAAGTAAAAACTGACCTTGATTTTGGTTTTTCCTAAAATGACATCAGATTGGATAAAATCATCACTGGCAATCAATGTATGGTCACCCTCAGTTCCCGAAATCGCATAGCTTTTGTGATCAATAACCATTGCCGATGAATCCTAAGCCATTTATCAAATTCACTTAAAACTAGAAGAAATTCTATTTTTAAAATCCAAAAAGAAAACAATAATAATAATAATAAAGACTAACCTCATCGAAATCAACTCCACATTCAGTCGCAATGTTCTTAATCAAATCAGAAGCAGACGCATCAACTGCTACTATCAAGTCGTGACCGGAGTCAACGAAGTCAAGCACCGCCGCCAAGTCCAAAGATCCACCAAACCCTAGCCAAGAGAATTCAAAATAACGATTAAAATGAGATAGAAACCGGAAGGAAAAAGTACGGCGCCGTTTTCTAGCTGTGTCAGCTTACGTTCCGTGGAGGGAGAGAAGAGGATCAAGGCGTCGTAGAGGTACTGGCCGTAGCGTCGGAGAGAGAGAGTAGGATCGTCGGCGAGTTTGAAGTCGAGGTCGAAACCGCGGGATTTGAGGGAGTTGAAGAAAATGGAGTGAGACGATTTGAGTGAGAAATCGTCAAGTAATACTAAGACTCGGCGATCCGTTGGCGTTTCTGGATCGAAAGAGAAACAGAGGAGAGGAAAGAAAGAAATCCCGAAGATGAAGAGGAAAGAGAGGTTCTTCATTTTCAGCCCTTTTTCTTTTCCTGCTGCAGCAGCGACTTCTTCTCGGCCTCTGTTCCTCAGTGCGCGAAGGAAAGAAATGGCGAAGGCCGTTGAAACTTGAATTCACAAAAACGACCCGTTTCGGTCAACTTCGATACGGGCCAGAAAGTTGCTTGAAGCCCAATTGATATATGTTTCTGAGCCCAAATGATCTTAAAAGGATTGGGCTTGTAAATTATTGGGGCCCACATGATCCTTCCTTTTCTTTTCTCTTCGTTTCTTTTTCTTTTTCGTGTAATTTGCGAAAATTTGAATTTTGGTCCCTACCTGTCTGTGAAACAAGTATTAAATTTTACAATATAATTTCAATCATGACTTTATAGTAGTAGTGACGCTATTAAAATATTCATTAAATGTTTTTTTCTCTTTGGTTAGACTATTACGAAAACATTTTGATTTTAAATATTTTTATTTATATAATAAATTTTTTATCCTTTTATTATATCCCAACAAATTTTTATTTTCTTTTTCATTAAACACAAACTCTTAATTTTAATAAAAAGTTAATAGTCATCAAGTCGACTAACATTTTCTCAGACTTGACGGTTTTATTAGGGTTAAATGCTTATACCGGTTCAAATTAAAAAATAAAAACTTGTTCGGATTCAATTAAAAAGAGTTATTTGATTTAGAATGAAGTAATAAATTTTTTTATAATAATTATATAAAAAAATTGATATTAAAACTATAAAAAAAAAAAGCAAGAAACAAGAATGACGAAACACTTATTTTTTAACTAGGAGGAATTTAACAAGAAATCAATTACAAACTAGTTGATTAAATTGATTAATACAAATTCGATTAGAATTAGGATTACAACAATGCCTTTTTTATTTGCAAATAAATAGAAAAAGAACAAAAAAAAAAAGGTTACTTGGTTCCATGTTAGCGTAGGAAAAAAGCAAAATATATATTTGATTTTGTTGTGTCTCTCTCGTTTTTTAACAAACCCAAATTTGGATGCACAGTGTTTGATTAAACAATAAGGCCGCAAAACCGCGGACGCTAGTTTTCGGAACACCGGAAAGCAAAGAAAAAAAGAGGGTGGGGCCGACTTTGGTGTCATCTCTCTCTGTTTCTCTGTCCTTTACTTTCCTTCCCGCGTCCATATCCAAAAGCCCCTTTCTTTTCCCTTTTCTCTTCATCGAATTTCCTGCTTTCTTTCTTTTTCTCTTCGGGTTTTTCTTGAGAAGGTTCGTTACAATCTGAGGAAACTCTGTTCTTATCTTTGCTTTTTGGGTTAGGTTTGTTTGCTTAAATCGGATAAAGTTTCCCTTGTCTAAGACGATCTATGTTTGTTGCTAGCTAGCTTTATCTCTTGAATTATGATCTGTTGGGAATTAATTTTGATTCTGAATCTCTGGTTTTTTTTTTTTGGTTTTTTCAGATTTGACTCGCAAAGATTTACTCTCTTTCTTTCCAGTTTTTTTAGTTGTTTTTTAAGTAGATTGAAAGTAGTCTAATCGAAGAAAAAGAAATAGCTATTGTGGTGATTCTGTTTTCGCATCACTTAAAAGGAGTGATCTTTTTGGTTCTTTAAGGAAAATGAATTTCTTTTCATGTGCTGTTCTAGGGTATGGAACCAAATTGGATTACAATGACAGGTTTGTTCAGTTAGGGTTTGTTAAGAAAACATAGATCTTTTGATGGTTTAGTTTAGATTTTGGATTGATATTATTTTTGGTGCTGCAACTAAATTCTGTTAGTAACTGTGGGAATTAATGGGTTTATGTTAATTTTTCAATATGTAATATGTATATTTGCAGGAGCTATGATTCGGCTGTTTAAAGTAAAGGAAAAGCAGAAAGAACTTGCTGAAAATGCGAACGGTGGAGTACCTATCAAAAAGCAAACTGCAGGGGAGTTGCGTTTACACAAAGGTATGTTTTTCACCTGTTTATTAGTGAATTGAGTTATTTGAATTTCCTTCTGTTTTCCATATGTTTTTTTTTTTTTTTGCAAGTTTCTTTATAGCTTTGTGAAGAAGAGAAAGATTTTGAGTGAGATTGATTTATTTAATTGTATGTTGCTCGAGCACTTAAGGTTTCTCTCTTTTTGGATTCATCGGGTTTAAGATGATCTGTGTTTAATATAGGATTAATTAGCACGTAATAAATGTGAATCTCACATCTAATTTGGCCTTTTACTTGCAGATATTTCTGAGCTGAACCTACCTAAATCTTGTGCCATATCATTTCCTAATGGAAAGGATGACCTGATGAACTTTGAGGTTTCAATACGACCTGATGAAGGATATTATTTGTAAGGAATTTCTTTCATGCCTCTAATCCTAAAACAAGTAGTAATGTTTTGTTCTGTAGCAAAATTATCTTGGGTTCAAATTTTCTTTTGTGGGGGAAGAGGTGCTATTCTTTCATACAATTGTTTTACGTGCGTTTTCTCTTATTAATAATGCTAACTAGTACTTTCCTGGGTGCTGTTTTACCGCTGGTTACAGATGTGGAACATTTTTGTTCTCCTTCCAAGTTTCTCCCATCTATCCGCATGAGGCACCAAAAGTTAAGTGCAAGACCAAGGTAGACCGGCTCTTCTTATTTACTCTGTGTCCTCTGTTCCTCTACTGAATTCTATTGTGGTCTCATATGCTTTTGGTTATATTCTGACCTATTTCATGTTGTACTCCCATTTCCAGGTCTACCATCCAAATATTGACTTGGAGGGAAATGTTTGCCTTAACATCTTACGTGAAGACTGGAAACCTGTGCTTAATATAAACACCATAATTTATGGATTATATCATCTGTTCACGGTAATATGTTGTTTATATATAACAATAATTATATGAATTTACAGCCATATGATATCGGAATCACTCGATTTTGTTTGCAGGAACCAAATTATGAGGATCCCCTCAATCATGATGCTGCTGCAGTGTTGAGGGATAATCCAAAGATGTTTGAATCTAATGTGAGGAGGGCTATGGCTGGTGGGTATGTCGGGCAAACCTTTTTCCCACGGTGTATCTAGCTTTTGCTCTGTAGCGAAAGTGCTAATGCACATATGTTATCAAACACTTGAGTTTCAATGGGCTGTATAATTTATCTGCAAATTACCTTTTGTCATCCCTTTTGATTTTCTTGGTGGTGCTTAGGGAATTAACTCCTAAAAGAGCAACCTGCAAAAATTGCAACTATGTTTTACTGTAGCTCATCTGATGCTATTTATGTTGCTGTGCCATATATCTGTCTTAATGTGGAACTAGGATAGACTAGATTTTATGCACTGGCCTAGAATATTACATTCTTCCTTCGCTGCCTCTCTTTCTCTAAGGAAGAAAATGATGTCTTTGTTTTTTAAACTTGTGCTAGGTTATCCGATGTCTAGTGAACCATAGGCAATTCATTGATCCATTAATCAAAGTGATTCCTGAACTATAAAGAGTTAAGACTTGTCATTAGAAGTGCCATTTTCATGTTGCATTTTGCGTGATCAACATGAAGTTCTTGTTTGGTCAATAAATCTTGCCTTCTTAGTTGACAGGATACCACATGCTTATCAACCCGACCAGGGCTGCTAATAGAGAAACATGGCTTATCAAGCCACAGTGGTTGTCCTCCTAGTGTTGGCAAGCAGTGTGTTTCATATGATCTGGTTTCCTGTTTGCAAGAAGTTATTGTTTGTCAATTTTGCTTAATGATTAGCAGAGCAATGACTTTCTTGACAAGCTGGTTGAGCACCATGGGCAAGAAACAATATCATACAGACCTGCTTCATTGTAAAATGAAATTCAGAATTCAATTTCTCATAAAGTAACATAAAGTATTCACGCTGTAAATGAAACTCAAACTTAAATCATCTCTTCCTCTTTCAAATTGGCTAATCTAACATTGTCACGGTCTCGCCTAAAAATTTTGTACAGAGGCGTGTAAAACAAAGAGCACAAACCGAAGGGAATTACCATCATCGCTAGAAGCCCTCTAGACAGCGCAAATGCCTCGCGCGGAGACCCATTGATCGGATCAATAGATTTCGAATCATAACCAAACATTTGCTCCGACAGGATACCCACCAAGGGAGCAGCAAATGAAGAAAACGATCCTTCGAATGCACGATCAAATGCATAGATCATGGTCCGATGTTTAGCAGGGACAACTTCGGCAAACATTGGACCATTTGCAGCCGTTGCATTCCAACTGATGGTTAAGCCCATCAGAAAGAGGGTGACAGCGAAGGTGTAATAGCTGCTTACTGATTGTGGGATCACTTTCAGAAGGAACCATGAGAATGGGATGCCCATGAAGGCGCTGAACTGCGCACACATGATACGGCCAGAATGAGGGTAGATTTGTGACATTCTATCTGCTATTAACCCGCCGAGAAAGGATCCCATTGCACATCCGATGGCAAAAAGACTTAGCAGTGCTGCTGTAGAATTATGATCAAAACCTGGGAAACAAGGAAAACAAAGACTCGAAGCAGTCACTCTTCTCCTTTGGTAATTGACATGGCAAATTATATAGCAGTCAACCATTTCCATTCTTATGTTTAAAGAAAATAAAGACGTCCACATTTCCATCTATCATTACAAGGTATATTGGAATTTGTATCCTTACTTACCAATTAGTTCAAACCACATGGTAAAGAATACCATGGCAGTCCATGGTAGTGAACCAACAATTCCCTGCAAGACGATTATCTGAAATGTTGGAACTTTTATAACAGCTTTTGTGGCCATCCAAGACTCAAACCAGACAGATGAAGCACCAGCATTCCCCTTCTCTATCAACTCATCCCTACAACAAAAAGCAACCGAGTCATCAACATGATATTTTGAACGGTAAAACTATTATTGAATCGGGAAGGTTACAATGAATGTATTTAAATGTGGTAAGAAACTGAAATAGAAATGAAACCACAAAACTTTGAACAAGCAATCAGTACCTATCAAAATTATTACCAGCATCATGATTGACACCAACTGTTTTCCTTGGATCAACGACAAATAGGAACACAAGGAACCCAATCAATGAACTTAAAGTTGCCATCAGAATGAAGGCACAACGCCATCCAGGCATACCCCAGAACTGCTGACCGGCCATTATCGTTGCAACAACACCACCCCCGATACCACCCAAGGTACCAACAAAGCTTAGCAACCCAAATCCAGCCCCTCTCACACCATCCATGTAACTATCAGCAATGAAAGACTGAAGTGCTGGTATTACAATTGCCAGTCCAAAGCCATTAACAGCTCTCCAGAGTGCAACCTGCAGAAATTGCTGGCTTGCACCCACTGCAGCAGTTGATAATGCCCAGCACAAAGTGCCTATTGCAAGAACTGTAGGGCGGTCATAGTTAATTACAAGTACACCTGCCAAGGGAGATGCCAATCCCTGCACAAAATTCCTTATGAAGGTGAGATACCCAAGATCAGATGGCCCAGCATTGAAAGCTTCACTAACTTCTTTGTATACAGATGGAAGGAGATTTTCATCAGCACGCTCCATAATGGCAGCCAAGTTGATGAGGAGGAGAGAAAGAGAAACACCGACAACCCTTCTTGCTCTGTGAAATAGTATCATCAATAGAAACTTAAGCATTTCTAACAAGGTAAACACATAGAAAAGGAGAAAGCATTGCTTATAGTTTACATTTGCACACATGTATGTTACAACAGGCACAAAATAGATAAAGTAACATCTCTAAGGATTGAAAGTCTGTAATACTATGACCATATGACACTCCAAAGCACTCTCAACATTTTAGCTAACTCAGATATTGTCCCTCCAATAATTACATACATATCTCAAGTTAATTATAATAGCTATGGAAATACCAAGAATTATGTGTGTAGCACCAGTAAACTTCCCATTCGGGCACCTTCTACAAATACCAACACTTGAAGATGCATTCGTTGGCACCTAGTGGAAATGTAGGAAAATTATGCTGGCCTCCATAGAAAATTCAAAAGGAGGAAGTCATGGCCTTCATTGGCTAGATTCCCTAAACAAGGAAATAGCTCCCTAAGAAGAAATATATTATCCTTTGACAAGGATACCTCAAAATAGGAGGCAAGGCATTCTATTCAAATAAATTCCTTCATCTAAGTTCGCAGACAGGAAATTCTGGTCCATTAAGAGTCTCAGACCAAAATCAAAATCAAAATCAGTAAGACAACAGCCGAGACTTAATGTTGCACGAATCCAGCAGAGAATTATAATTATCCAAGTCCACCTATTTGAAAGTACTTAAGGAGCAGCAATGTAAGTGATGTCTCAAACATAGCCTAGACATAAACATCAAATTGGGAACCACATAGCAATTACCACGGAAACCAATAGACCCATAACAAAACCACAATCAGATAATGACATCATTCTTTGGCTCAGTAGTTTTCTGCGAAAGCTGAAATTGCTTTTTCGCAGTCTGTTATTCGCAGACATCAATTCTGAATGATGATAGAGCATAACTTATAAAAGCAACTAAAAATAGTAACAAATTTCTGGTAAAAATCAATTTCCCATAGGGGAAATATTGATGTCAAGACCTATATCCCACACGCAAAAGAAGAGGCAAAAAAAGAAACTTCTGAAGCATGGACTGTTACTTCATTTGCTTTTACTGTACTTTATTTTGGATAATAACAACAGAAAAATTAGTACCCACATCCATAATCAACAAACAATCAAATAATAAGCGTTTCGGTAATCAGAAAACGGAAAACACAAAACAAAGATTTGAATGGAAACTCACTTCATGGCTTGAAGATTTTTCTGAAACAAAGGCTTCGGTCGGAGGGCAGCAGAAAATCTTGAATGGCTTCGATTTGAGCCCATAAAACAATGAAGACAACCCGCTAAAATCCTGGAAAACTGTGTTTCCAGCTTCTATGGCGGATCTGGACCACCACCCACTTGCCTCGTTGAAACAAAAAGGCCATTCAGGGACTCGTCAGGAATTACCCCAAAAGAGAATATTCAAATCAAGCAAGATATTTATTTTAATTAATTAATGACAATCATAACGTTGAATATACTAAAATCAACAGATAAGTCAAAGAACCCAAACTCTTTAAAATACTTTGATTGGAACAAACAAGGAAGTTAAAGTTGGTTAGTCAGCCAGAATAGCAAGAGGTTGCTTTCGACAATGTTGCACGCTACGCAGCATCGTGGCTTCATGTCAATGGCTAGTTTCATGGGATCTAAGCCAAGGCTTGGTTTGTGGAGTTGGTGTCAGAGTTTTGAAGTCTAAAATTCCAGGATACGTGGGTACCCTGTTTCCGAGGGTGTGTTTTTCCTGTCTTTTGACCTTCCTTATAACGTGTCCGAAAAATTTGCTCTCCGTGAATAAATATTTTTTTTTTAATTTTGGACGTTCTTTATTAATTAAAATAAATGGAGAGAATGCCAAATATTCCTAGTCATATTTATGACGTATTAACAGTTAGAAACTTTTGTTATTAATCACTCCAACAAATTGTAAGTAAAAAAAAAAAAGAAAACTTCAACAATTAGATAAATACTTTGTTATTTAAAAAAAAAAACACTTTGTTCTCGAGATAGGGATATTTGAAATCGTTCAATTGTCACTACTTCAATACTTCAAAATCGAGATTTTTTTATTGAAAATTATATTTTTGTTTATGATAATCATTTTTCAAGGATATGTTGTACTCAAACTTATAGAATCTTTTCTTTTCGATAATGTCATTCTCTTTTGATAGGCTTTGGATTGGTGGAGAATGGAGATTAATCCTCTATATGATTGGATAAAATGGGACCCCGTGGTAATCGAGTGTTAGAGGGCATACATGGTACATTTTTAACCCAATGGGCTGACCCTTTTGATGCCAAACATAAGAAGTTGGGCTACTTTCTGCCCTTTCATCATAGTCCAAATGTCACCCAAACCCCTTAACCCTTTGCCACAAATAGATGGGCCTATTTCTCCAAGCTAATTTTAGTTGGGCCTTCGAGTGAGTTTATTTCATCCTTACGGCGCAACCCCATTCACACGTGCATTGCATCACGATGAACAAAATAGTGAGTAAAGATCAGAAAGATTATGCTTGACGAAGAAATAGAAATAGTTTAATTAAAATAGATATTTTAAAATAATATTGGATATTATTATATGCGATGATGCTAATGTATTCGAGAAATTTGATTAGATTAGTCCTAATTTTCCTTTAAGACGACTCCATGATCACTTGATTATCAATTAAAAATAGTGTAAAGCACCGTGATTCAAACGTCAGCCTCGTAGAAGCTGGAGTTGGCGTACATCTTCCCCACGTGAGCTGAAGCGCTATAGATCCAAAAGTCTTTCGTAGGGCCACTTTGAATTTATGTAGTGGGGATGTCTCCCTTGGCTACTTCATGGATTGATTATTAATCACAAGACCAACCCATTGTCTAACACTGCTACTTTTACAAACTCTAAACATTACTATATTCATCAAACATTTCATGATCTAATTCGCATTGAAGAAGAAACACGTAAAGCTAAAGCAACTGCCATTGCTATTCGGCCACTAATGAAGTAATGATATTATATCAATAATAAATGATTTTGATTAATTCTTTTGCAATGAGATAAATACGAATGGTTGGTGGTTTGAAAGAAGGCTAGAAGGGATAGTTAAGCAGGGTTAATAGAAAAACGGGGGGAGCCGTGGGGGGCCTAAAATCAAGAGCTAAGAAAATGCTTTTGGAGCAATGAACCCCCACGTGCTCTCTCCTGCCAATGAAGACCCGGTGAGAGAGAGCTTTGAGCAGCCAGCCACTTCTCTCGGAACAACAAGACAAAAAAGCCGAGGTGGTCCCGAGCGAAAAGACCCGCCAGAGGCACGCCTCTCTCCCCCCGCACGTGGGGCAAGTCTCGTTGATTTCATGGTGTTGCCAGCTATAGCCCTCTCTTGTCGTTCCTCTCCCCTTTAAGCTTAGCTGGAACCGCACGTGCCCTAAGCCACGAATTTCACTACTTCCCACACACCCGCCCCCCACCCCCGGCAAAAAAGAAAAAAGCCCAATCTTCATTAAGCATTTGCAAATAAATACCGATTTTATTTTATTAGTCACGGAGTCGTTGGCTACGGGCTGAGCGAAGCCGTGGGTCCGATTCCTACAAATAAATTAAAAAAAGGGCGAAAAACATGGGACCACTTTCACGCGTTCCAAGCAATAGTTGGACACGTCGAAGAGAGGTCGGTCCCCACCGGGGGGATAGGGTCGTTTACTACTTTTATTTATTAAATGAATAAATAAAATAAATATACAGATTTCTGTGTCGCACGTGTGGAGCCGACCGACCCCGCTAAAAGTTATTGTCCAAAGGGGGTCCCACTCGTCTGAGATCTCTGTTTGTCCACATCTGTACCGTTCAATCTGATCAACACGTCAGTAGCCAGCTACCTCAATTACCGGAGAGATGGCATCTTCCCTTTTCTAATCATCTCTCTTGGGCAATTTTTTAATACAGGCAGTTACATCTTTCAAAATCTCTGATTGCTTTATCACCGTTAAATTATTAGATCCCAACCCCTTTTTTTATTTATTTTGAATATAAACATTAATTTGTGTGAATAGAAATACAGAGAAAATCAAGAAAAAGGGTGGAAGATGAAGAGAAAAGTTGGGGGGGTGGGGGGGGGTTGTAATTGCAACAACATTATCCTTGTCAATAATGGAGGCTACCCATTTCTCTGGCCCCAGCATGGGAAACATTGCTGTGTCTGCCATATTACCAAGTCTAATACAACCAAAATTCATTCATGGAAAGTTTGTGAGAAACCAAGCTTTTGACTGGTCTTTTTTTTTTTTGTAAGCCTTTGTGGCTATCATTTTAGCTCCAACAACCTCTAAAAGTATTATCCATTTCTTGGTACAAACCCTTTTTCCATTTGATTATGTGATTAACAAAGAACACAAATAAAAAAACACAGTGATTCTTACCAAGCTAAGGTTAAAAAAGAAAGAGAATGCAACTTCCAAATGGTCAGTCCTTTGAAAACTTTTTTCAGGAATAACTGACAGATGACAATCATTTCTGAAAGCAGGGGGTGAGGTCATAGATTCACCAAATTCTGGCGCTTTCCTCTTTCCCCCAACCAAAATTTGAAGAGAAAAATCCTTATAAAAGCAGCCCTCCATGTGGCATGCAAGGGAAGCAGTTTCAAGTTTTTCTCAACTGAGTTCAGCTTTGATTAGGCTAATAATTAATTTACTAATACGCAAAACATGCTACCCTATAGTCTTAGGCTCAAGCCCCCATTGCCATGCTCAAAACACAGAATACAATAATTTACCTCTTTTTTTAAGATTTAAAAAAGATTGGTTTTATTATCACTTTTTCTGACCATAAGGGTACTTCATCCATATAAGTGTGAAAACAGAAAAGAAAGGTAGACGGAGAGAGGGAGAGAGAATCTAAGGAAGCAGCAGTGCAAAAGCGTTTTCTCTCCTCTAGAACAAATAAAACTTTCAACGATAAAGAAAGCAATATCCTCGTGAAAGGGAGAGAGGGACTTGTCCCCTGCGTGTCTCTCTGTGGACTTTGCCCATTTCTCTCCTTAATGCAAAGCTCTCTTCGGCTTCATCTTCTTCTTCAAGAGAATACAGGTTGAAACAAAAAAAAAAGGGCAAAGGTCGGTTCGCTGCAAGAGAGAGAAGGAAAAAAAATATGACTGGGGCATCCGGGAGATTACCGACATGGAAAGAAAGGGAGAATAACAAGAGAAGAGAGAGGAGAAGAAGAGCTATAGCTGCAAAGATATACTCCGGGCTACGAGCTCAAGGCAACTACAAGCTTCCTAAACATTGTGACAACAACGAGGTCCTGAAAGCCCTTTGTGCTGAAGCTGGTTGGATCGTTGAAGAAGATGGTACCACTTATCGCAAGGTTTGCTTTTTTTTGTTTCCTTTTAGATTTCTGGGTTTTTTTCATTTCACACTTGTAGATCTACATGCATGCATTGGTTTTTTTGTCAAATTTTTTTTTTGATAGTTGTTCTGAAACGGGTTTCTACTGATCTGTTATTGTGTTTAACTTGTTTTGATCCGTATACTTTTGATGTATTTATCGATTGAATTTGTTGGAATTCTGGTTCTTTTATACCTCTTGCTTGATCTGCGAAACCTTTATTTACTTCGTAACTCTTTTGATTTTTTTTTTTGTACTTAAACCAAATTACATGAAAGTATTGTACTTTTTCTCTAATCTTGTTATAATACTCCTTTGTTCTAAGACCCTGATCAAGATTTTCCTTGTATTATTGATAGAAATAGATCTTGGTAAAGTAATAGTACTAACAAAAATGATTACTGATCTTTGGATTCTTTTAACTAGTGTTTGTTGCTTTGTTAATATAATTGGATTATATTTTTCGTAATTCCTTTTTGTAATGGCTTTGATTGATTCAGGGATGCAAGCCACCTCCGTCTGAACTTGCAGGGGCCTCAACAAACATCAGTGCATGTTCATCTATTCAACCAAGTCCACAGTCCTCATCTTTCCCAAGTCCTGTACCTTCCTACCATGCCAGCCCCTCCTCCTCCTTATGCCCGAGCCCAACTCGGTTCGATGCAAATCCCTCAACCTACCTTCTTCCATTCCTCCGCAACATTGCAGCTATCCCTAACAATCTCCCTCCTCTTAGAATATCCAATAGTGCTCCTGTAACACCACCACTTTCCTCCCCAACTTCTAGAGGATCTAAGCCCAAAGCTGACTGGGAGTCCCTTTCTAATGGCTCCCTAAATTCATGTCGCCACCCTCTTTTCGCTACCTCAGCCCCTTCTAGCCCCACAAGGCGGCATCACAAGACACCAGCAACAATTCCAGAATGTGATGAGTCTGATGCCTCAACTGTGGATTCTGGCCGCTGGGTGAGTTTCCAGACAGTGGCATCCACAGCAGCTGCAGCAGTAGCATCTCCTCCTTCACCTACTTTTAACCTTGTGAAAAGGGTGGTTCAACAGAATCCTTTCCGGGATGGTGTCACAGGGCATGGTGGGGTGACCTGGGGGACAGTAACAGAGATTGGGAGAGGGTCAGAGTTTGCATTTGAGAATGGTAGAGTAAAACCTTGGGAGGGTGAGAGAATACATGAGATTGGGGTTGATGATCTGGAACTTACACTGGGGACTAGCAAGACCTGTGCATAAGCTTCCGTTAAGAAATTAACCTTTCCTCAAGAACATGGGTTCTTTGTGCATTCTCAATATTGCTCGGTTTCTTAGTGAGTTGTTTTGTGTGCCATATTTGAAGCCTCCATTGAGTTTTTGTATTGCTCAGAAGATCATCATTCCATTACTTACAGTGACCTATCTCTTTCACATTTGTACAGTTTTGAGCTCAGGGAGACTTTTACAAGGTCTAAAAAAAGTTTAAGCCTATTGCATTTGATTCCAGGCTGCGCTACTGGAGGACACTACGGGATAGTTCAATCTTCAAGTGGCATGAAAGAAAGACTGAACCGAGTTTAGGGGTTTATATAAAAATATGTTCCCCCTCCAATGATTATGTTCACGACTTTCTTATAATTTCTTCATTTATCATGTGATGATAGGATTCTATTTCTCAGATAGAGAGATTGTGTTCATTTTCTAGTTTGTAAATCAAGGATTTATCTATCCTTTGAAGAAAAACACAAACTCAGAATTTGTAAGGCTAGTTAGTACTATGTTTTCTCACTACTACTAGATAAATCTTCTTTGGCAATTGATCCTTTGGTTCTTCTTTTTCTCCATTGAATTTAGTATAAGATTAGCATAAGCTCTGATATGACAAGTGAACTGAAACAAAAGTGATTATCTGTGGGGGATTGATTGGGGTAGGCCCATTCTCTGTTGTCTAAAACATTTGGCTTCTAGCTCTAAGCCAAATGTTTACTGAAATTTGTGCACCGTTGTGGGGTTGCCAAGGTCAAACTTCAAAGAGCATCTTACAATGGAAAAACTCCAATGAGGGTCCCCATTCACGTGATGGTGTATTTTCATGTAGGCATGTGATCTATGTCACGCCTGATGTTGTAATGTACCAAAACAATTCAATAACTTCTTTTGTCAATTATTAAATAGTTTGGCTAAGACCAAAAATGGCCCTGGAGTTGTGGCCGCTGTCCCCGAATTTAATTCTTCCCTTTTTGTTTTTTGTGATTTATCTTAGCTAAGAGTGGCCAAACCAAACTAGAGAAGTTAATTAGATACATTTTGAGGAAAAAAGTTACAAAAATATGTTAATCGGCTAGGATGCTATCAATTCTTATCAACATGGTCCAGCCTGAAATCGGGTACTTTTTGGGTCCAACCAAACCTGTCCATTAGGGTTGTATTTCAAAGCCTGGTCTTCCTAGTCTTCGAGCCCTGGGCCAAGCCTGTCTCGGGCCAGGCTTGTCTCCTAGGTCTTGTAGGCAAAAGAGGGTGAGAGAAATTTGGCCCTCAGTTTTCTTTAATCTTTCATCAAATTGAACAAGCGATTGTCTTCATGGCATTGTTGTAAAACCAAGAAAGGAAAGTGTCAGGTTATACTAAATTCTAACAGAATTGAGGCTCTTCTTACGGCCTAAGGAAAAAGATGACAAACTTCCTTTTTCTTTCTTCCCGTTTAATGAAAATTTGGTTAAAGTACTAGTACTATCAACATACATTAAAAGTTATCTCCAAATAGGTTGATTGATTGACATCTGCATAGCCTAATTGTCTGACACATGATGGCTTGACTTGGGTTGAATTGTTCATGCAATATGCGTGGTATTTTGTTATTTGTTGAGGGTGTTTATTTGATTTTTTTATTAATAAGATTTTGGGTATTTTAAAAGATGTTAGATTGATTTTATCTGTTTGGGTTTACTTCAGCGTATTACTTAATAATATAGATTTTTAAATAATATATATATTTTTAATATTAATTTATTAATTTTAAAAACATATTTTTCAACGTATTACTTACTAATATAGATTTTATCTGTTTATGGTATTATTTTGTTTAGTTTTTCTTCAAGTTATAGAAATTGATTTTTGGGTTTCCCTCTTTCACTCTTTTTTTTGGTCTATTTTTGTTTTTTTAATATTTTTGGATTTATGGATTTTAGGTTGCATGTAATTGACTTTTGCTTTTGTTTCTCATTGTAATTTTTTTATTTGTTCCTTATTGATCATTGTATCTGATTTGTTTTATTTTGTTTAATTATCATTATTAATTTTGATGGCATTTTATTTGTGTTAATATTCAAGGTATCTTAAAAGGGAGATTATGGGGACCATGATTTGTTAAAAAGGGAAAGAAAAAAAGAAAAAGGAAAAGTTGAAGCATAATAGGCAGGTTTTTTTTATGAGTTTTGAGATTAAATTCTTCTTTAAGTTTTTCTCTCTTTTTAATTTTTGTTATTCTTTCTTAATGTTTTATTTATTTACTAATAATATTTATAATTTTTTCCCCTTTGTTCAGAAAATTGTCATACTGAGTATTAACTACCCATTGTTTTTTTTTTTATGCATAAATTTTTTCTATTTTTTAAGTTGATATCGTTTTTTGATTAATTTATTGGTATGCGATTAATTAGTGTTGTTTTATTTTTAGGATAACTTCCTATTATAATTGTTTCAGAGGTATTTTATATATTGATCTTATTTTATTTTTTAATTTCATGATTTTTTGTTTATTCAAGTTTTCATTATTTGGGTTTTTATTATTTTTATTCTTATAATATTATTCCTTCCATACAGAAATTAAAAGTCTTTCATCTAATTTTTAGATTCTTTCTTTGGTTTTTATCTTATATGATTAGGTGTATGGTTATACTTTTCTATTGATGATAATAATCAACTTGCACTTTTACTCAAGTTATATCAATTATTGACTTCTTTTACCTATTATTCATTTTATATATTTTTAATTATCTTTTGAGTAAGAATATGTTATTTACTAAAAATATATTTTTTAATTTACATGTTTGTCATTATTATTTTACTATATGTTTATCTTTCAACTCATTTGATTTTTTTTTGTAATTACTTTTTGAATATTTAAAAATTTAGTAGATAAGTGTATTTTTATAAAATGTAGTATTAGTTAGCCATTCCCTTTATAATTGTATATTATTGCAAACATATTGATAGAATATTATCCAATTACGAATTTAGTGAGTTTTGAAATTTGTTTAATATTTTTTTAGTTTTGTTATTCTTTTCATAAATGTTTAATTTTTTTATTGATTAAATTTACAATTTATCCTTTTTTAGAAATAAATGTCATATAATCAAATATGAACTACCTATGTGTTTTTTTTATGTATGAATTTTTTTGTTTTTTAAATTGATGTGGTTTTTGGATTAATTTTTAAGAATGCAATTGATTAGTATTATTTTAATTTTACAAGGTTTTTGTGGATTTCTTTTTCTAAAATTGTTTGCCCCTTTCTTCTTTAGTTTTCCCGCTTTAGTTTTCCTCTTCATTCCTTTATTCCTCATTGTCTTTGTTTTTCTTCTTCTGTTTCTTTTTATTTTCTCAACGTATTTATCTTTTGAACTAAATGTTTAATTTTTTTTGCTATATTTGTTACTTTTGTTTTCACTTTAAATTTTTTTTGCATGTAACAAATTAATATATATTTAATTTTTCAACCCACTTTGTTTTTAAGAAGAGAAATAGTATCATTTGTGAATTTTTATCTGCATTTTTACTATGGTAATAATCTCTAAGTTAACTTGACATATAACTATCAAAATATTTCTTGATTTGTGAATATTTATATTTACAAATTATAATGTAATTTCATGTTTGTAAATGATATATTAATTTATTATTTATTTTTAAACAATTTCTTTATTATTAATATAAATTAATTTTAAAATTTATTTACACATCAAACAATTGTATCTTGAACGCATAACATAGATTAGACTCTAATATTATACATTAATGAACTATGGTTGTGCTTGCGCAGAGGAGAAAGGAAATTTCCTTTTCGACTGGTAAAGAAAAATTGGAAATTGTGTTAATAATTCTTATTCCAATGCAATGTACTGTATCTTTCAGTGTTGCAGAGCGCTGAGTTGGGTATCCCAAGGGCATACTTGTCCCACACACGTCCCCCGCTTTCTATTAAAGTTGCATTTCTTTGTCTCTTTTGTCAATTAGGCCCCTAACCTATAGAGGAATTACAACATTGGAGTTGTAAATGCATGTAAACCCTTCATAAGAAGAGGACTAGAGATAATTATAAAAGTTTCAAAATTTAAGATGATAATTGCAACTTGAGACATAAGAAGGGAAAATTTTGCAATTTACCTCTCATATTGTTGCTGATATCTGATACTAATTTTTGAGTTGGATTTCTTGATTCAAGTGAACTAATATCTGAAGGAGTGAGGCGTCCAGAAAAGGTTTTGGCTGTAAGCAATAATTGCTGAGAAGAAAAATCAATTGTTCCACCAAACATTAAAAGGAGGTGCAAATCCTGAGAGCCTTGTCTGCTTTATCACAAAGAAAAGGGAAGCTTTAACAGTAGCTTTGTTTTGGTGATGATTTTTTGTGAGTCCTGTACCTGCTATCCAGCTTGATCACCATTAGTGAATGGTGAAAGCTAGCCCCAATGTCCTTGCCCTTATTCTGGAATCCCCACAAGCTTTCATAATTAGTGGTGCTCCTTTCCCTGACCCCTGGGCAGTTGCTATAGCTCTCTCTAGAAAAAAGTATCTTTCTTTCTGAGTAGAAACAATATACACCGATCATTAACCCAAAACCAAAGGGTAGTTGGTTGATGCATCTCAAGCAGAAAGCTATCCTCAAGTTTTAGATTTCTAAAACTATGGAACAATCAAACACGAAGCCTCATCTAGTATTACTGTCCGCCCCAGCTCATCTCATGCCCGTTATTGAGCTTGGCAAACGCCTTGTTTCTTGTCAGGACGTTAAAGTAACAATTTTTGTTGCTTCTTTTGTCCAATCAGCTGCAGCGGAATCGCGGATGGTCCGATCTGCGCTGACCACAAAACTCTTTGATGTCATCCACCTCCCACCAGCCGACGTTTCCAACCTTGTTGCCCCTGGCGATCAGGGGATTCCATCACTTTCTGCGGCTGTGCGTGTAGTCAGGCCAGCTTTTCAGGCTGCTATATCCGCTTTGGAGACTCCTCCAACTGCTCTCATCGTTCACGTTTTTGCAATAGAGTGTTTACGAATTGCGGATGAGCTTAAGATTCCAAAATATGTTTTTGTCTCCACAAATGCGTGGTTTCTTGCTCTGATCATGTACACTCCGGTCCTGGACAAGGAAGTGAAAGGAGAGTATGTTGATAAGAAAGAACCATTTGCTCTTCCAGGTTGCTCGCCGATTCGAGCAGAAGATTTGCCTGATCCGATGCTCTTCCGAACCAAAGCAAATTATCATGAATACCTGAAAATAGGTATGGAGATTCCAAAGGCTGATGGGATTTTGGTGAACACATGGGAAGAACTGCAGCCCAAAACACTAGCTTCTTTGAGAGATGGTAACCTCTTGGGTAGCGTTGCTAAGGCACCAGTATTCCCAATCGGCCCTATAAATTCAGAGGGTTCTGCAGCATTAAGAATCGAGTTATTTGACTGGCTGGACAAGCAACCGACTGACTCTGTACTTTACATATCTTTTGGAAGTATGGGAGGGCTCTCGCTTGAGCAAATGACGGAATTAGCTCGGGGTTTAGAGTTGAGCCAGCAAAGATTCATCTGGGTAGTGCGTCCACCGACCCAAAAATCAGGAGGCGGCTCGGGTCCGAAGGTTGGGAACGCTAGTGATGATATGTCAAGTTACTTGCCAGAAGGGTTCATTTCCAGGACCCGGGACCGGGGACAGGTTGTTCCACAATGGGCTCCGCAGGTGGAAATCTTGAGCCATCCATCATGCGGAGGGTTTTTTACACATTGTGGTTGGAATTCAGCCATAGAATGCATCACCAATGGATTACCGATGATCGCTTGGCCACTGTACGCTGAGCAGAGAATGAATGCTACGTTGCTGACAGAGGAGCTTGGCATAGCTGTTCGATCACAAACATTACCATCCACGGGTGTTGTGGGGAGGGACGAGATAGGGAAGATGGTGAGAAAAATATTTGTGGATGATGCAGGGCGTCAAATGAGGGCCAGAGTCAAGGAGATGAAACTTGGTGCGGAGACAGCTTGGAGTAAAAGCGGTTCCTCGTATAATGCACTAGCTGAAATGGTGAAACACTGCCAGAAATGCCTGTAGCTGAAACGGCGGTTCATGTAATAAATGATTCCTCCTGCTTCCATGCTTTTAGTTTAGTGTCTTATCAATAAAATTTAAACATGTTTTTCGTTGTGCCGATTAATTAGAGCCGACGGACCCATAACCAGCAGCAGATTGTCATCTTCTACAATTAACAGATCTTACTCCAATCGATCCTGATGTGGTCGAGCCGGAGCTGAAATATCTAAAGCCCAACCAAATGGGTTCATATATCGTCACAGGCACGGACATGCTTAGGAATGACAGGCCTGATTTGAGCCACAATTGGCTTTGGCAATGTGGGCAACTTGCCCACTAGTCCTTCAAAAGAGAAGAAGAGGAAGAATGGAAGATTGGGGTTTGTGAACATTTCATTCAACTAGTTTTGCACCTACTAATGTGGTGCTTTAAGCCTCAAATCAAATGATGGGCATGGTCGAAACAAAACAAAATAAAAAAATACCTCAATTCAAATGCTTTGTCAATTAGCCAAAAAAAATTTGAAATCATAGCCAAAGTGAGTCTTGTGTAGGTAGAGTTAGTTAACTTTTACTAGAATTCAAAGATAAATAGAAATAAAGATTAAAAAATTTTAAAATTAATATGTTGATTTATTTCATAATTAAAAGATTTATAATAAATAATAATTTTATACAATATGTAAATTGAAAATAAAAAAAATTTACGATAGTCTTTTAGTGAAGTTATTTTCAAATATTTTTTTTAATTCAAATTCATTCATTATTGACTTTTTACAATAATCTTTTTTTAAAAAAAGTGTTAGGATACATTATACCCTACCAGAATTGAAGCAAAGAACACAAACTTACTTTTTCTTTGCCCCATTTTAATGAAAATTTGGTTACTCAAAAGAAAAAAAAATACTTAAATATTTTTAAGTTTTGATCAAAATTATATGGAGGTTTATTAATTTTTAAAATAGACACTTCATCAAAAAAAATATTTTCGCTTGACACATAAATCTTGTTGTTAGTTAATTGTCAATATTTCTATTAGTTTGATGATAAGACGATTTGTTTAGAATAATTTTATCTTTTATTAATTTTAATAATTATCATTAAATAAATTATAATTTTTATTTTAAAAAAATTTTCAACCACTCGTGACTGATTGGTGCAAGGGGATGCCGTCAGCCGAACTAAGAGAAAGAAAATAATGGAAAAAGAGATATTT